TCCTTTGGAGATTGACTACCATCGGTTTCCGCAAGGGAGCGTAGGGCTTGGTAAGAGATTCGGAGCCATTCCGGACCTGTGGTCACCTTGGCTGCGAGTTGGTGAAAATGGGCCAACTCGAGTTTGTGGGAGGTGGCGGAAAGATCTGCAACAAATGTCCCGATGCCTGAAGCAAGGAACCATCCCGAAACCTGAACCAAGAAACCACTGCATGCCCAGGTGCCCCAACCCGGAATCTGCAACAAATACATTGTTGCCTATGGCTTAAGGCTCCCAAAAGGTGTTGCTTCCACATGTCGGGCCAAAATGGGAGACCCACACTCTGCAAACATCTGCAAAGATGGCGCCTAAAGGGAACTTGGAAGCAACCTTTTCGTGCCCCTGACGCCTCCCCTTGTCGTTGGCCCCAAATTCAGAGACATTCAGCGGAATCTCCAGAAAATTCAGTAAATTCGGCTACCACCTTAGTGGCAAACTTTCAAGGTGCATGACAACTTTGAAACATGGACGAAGATGGTCGCTTGCTCGTGTCAGATTCGTTCATCTGGTCCGCCCGCCAGATTTGCCATCAGGGTTCCCCATATGTCCCCTTTAAACATCACCCCGCCAAAGAGGAACCTTGATGAAAAAGGGCCCAGGAGGTGAGGCTTGGAAGAGCGGCCCGGTAGTCAAAGGGGATCTTCGCCCCAAAGAATCTCCCCAGGACTCGGCCAGGGCAGGGACTGCATAAAGGAGGTCTCGTCCTCGACAGCATCTCGTATGTGCGTATGTGTATATATATATATATGTTATATATATATATATGTCCCACAGAACTACATATACATGTATATATATATAGGGATATATATATATGTATTCATGGGGGGGCTGAGCATATATGGTCATATAGGTATTTTTATATATATACATATCCCATATATTTGTATGTGTATATATATATATATTCCATATGTGTGTTTATATATACCATATGTATGCTTATATGTCCCAAATGTATATATCCATATATACATATATAGATATATATTATATATATATATATACTATATTATATTATATTATATTATATAATATATATATATATTGTAGTGTGTGCATGTGCGTCTGTGTATGGTGAGGGCACGCAGAGTCACGGGCCTCAACAGATCCGTTCACCGCGAGGTCCCCTACAAAACGATCGGATCCCTTGCAGGTTCTCAATCGGCTTCCTGGAAACGAAGGCCCGGAAGCGAAACCCAAGAGCAAGCAGCATGCGATGAACCAGTTGGAATCTCCGTCACGAAACTTCCGGCTGCGGACTGCAGACCCCTGCGCCAGTCGCTTGGGACAACTTGGGGTGAAACACCAGCGAGGCCGAAAACTTGTTGCTGCGAGAAGGGAATGAGAAATGGACTGCCCCCGATGTAAACCATCCCCGATTTGGCTTCCTCACGAATCCCTCGGTTCATTCCCAACACTCTGGCGTGCTTCCCAACTTCTCGCACCAGGAAACTTGGTTGCTTTCTGCTCCCCTGCAGAAAGTCCTCACATCCAAGCAAGATGCAAAGGAAAGGCTCGTCCGTCGCGGATCCGGTGGATCCGGTCCTGCATCGCCTCCGGATCTTCAAAGAGCATCGCAGAGGGCATGACGATCTGAAGGGCGACCATTGCGACTGCCTGGGAGGGCATGCGGGGCGTCCAGTTGGAAAATGGGGACACCCATGAACCAGTACCACCCCCCAACATCCATTGCCCACCTTCAAACACTTGGAGGGTGAGAATGAAAGAAGAAGTCATCAGGTGCCGCCGAAGGCAGAGGAAATGACCCAAATCCAATGTGTGTCAAACGCCGTTGGGCTGCCTTTTCTAGACGTGTAACCTGTGAAAGCCAGTAAATCAATCTTTTTTTGTGTCTTTCAAGGAAACCAAGAGGACAACCGCAGCCGTTCGGGAGGAGGGGGGCCGCCTCAAAAAAGGACGAGCCACCCATTCAACCCGAGCCACCGGGACCGCAGGTTTTTAGTCAATGTGTCCATTTACCGGGGTTCCACTTTGCGAACCTATTCAGCCAAATCATGTAAAAGTAAGTAAGTGTCTGCGTGTCTGCGTGTGTGAGTTGAACGACTCACTATTTCTCATGGTTGGGGTTCTTGTGGCTTCGCCCAAGAGGAATGGCTTAGCCAACAAAGATCTCTGCACTTCAAGAGCTCGGCTGCAGATGGGTCTGGCTTTTCTCTTGAGGCTACCCCCTTTTTGCAAAGTCCCACCCACTTTGGACCCTCGGAGTCTTGGGGGTCTGACCTTTCGAAGGCCCTGGGGTTCTGAAGCCAAAGTCGGGGTTCCCCCTATCTTGCGAAAGAAACCCATCTTGGTTTCTTAGGTAGGTTGCCAAGGGGATTCACGAGATGGTAGGGCTGCGTCCATCCCAACTGGCGCAGGAGTTTGTCCATCCACAGTTTCAGTCACAGCCTAGCTGCTGTGTGTCTGTGTGTGTCTGCCAGCCCTCCGAAATGCCGACAGTACCCGCGGGAATTTCGCAAACTCGAAAGCACGGATCCCCTGAACTCGTCCGTATGCAGAACCTACTTGGCAGCTTCTCAAACAGCCCATGTCCCCCTTTTCGGCAAAGATTGCCTCGGGCAAACGAGTCTGTTCTTGGAAGCCCCACGGCATCTTTCACAGGGAGAACCCCGAGTCACATTGTTCTAAGGAACAAACGCTGGGAATACCCTCGCAACCATCCATCTACCCCCAGCTTTCCACGACAAGACAAGTCCCCGTGTATTTTGGAAGTACGTTTCTGTTGTTTGAGGCGTCTGCTCCACAATCTCCGGTGATTTTCCCAAAACACGTTGCACTTGGAACCGTATCCAAGGAAATCACCTTCAATCAGAAAGAACAATTCGGATGCCGTAACATCCATGTGTCAGGGCACCGTGAAGCTTTGCGGGTCAATCTAGTTTCGGGCAAAATAAGGGAAAACGAGGGTGGGTTCCAGGTACCCAAAAACCAAGAAGTCGAGGGCTCAGGAGCCGTTTCTGGTTCGGGACTAGTGGGAACTCAGACACAACAAAACTCCTTGGCGCGGGGCGTCGGTCTCCTTTGGATCCGGATGCGCAGGACACATTTCTTGCTGGTGCGAGAGGCAGGAAATGAGGGAATGACCCTTATACACCAGCGCTTGTGGTTTCCTGGGATTCCCTATCGCGCCAGCCAGCTGTTCGACTGAACCCCTCACGAGAAACTGCCACCCGCCTGGAGCTTCATGGCCTTGAGCCGAGAGCGACCCCGCCGCCCAAAGCCAAAATCCCTTCGCCCAGTTCGCCCCCCAGGGGGATCACCCTATGTTGGCCTGTTTGCACGAAGAATCCTGATTTTTGGGCTTTACTTGGGTTTTTTTGATTCCCTGCTGGGGGATCACCCTTTTTGGCCTATGTCCAGTTACCACCTGGCTCTTTGGGTTTGCTTGGGGTCATGTTTTTGAGGTGTACTCCCAGAGTGATGGAAAAATCCTTGAATCAATGAACCTTGAAAAAGGGATGCAACTAGCCAAACCAGAAGGCCACTAACTGGGTCTTCAAAGGGCATCCAGCACCGATGCTGGGGGTTCCCGCTTTAACCGATCCATCTTCAGGGTGCTACTGTTTGGAGAAGCCAAACGAAAAATGTCTGCCTCGCAGTTCCAAACAAAACTCCCAACGTCATCGAAGGAGAGGGGCACTGCCTGCTTATTTTTCTTGTTTTTTTTGATGTTGTGTGGGAAGAGTTGTTCACCCCCATATTTGCAGCTTTAACAAAATCAACTAGCCACAATGTCTTACCAGCGAAAGGGTGTCTTTTGGGGGGGGGACCCCCTGTTGGTTTCAATTGGACACCAAACAGAAACAAACACTTCAGGTGAGTCCTCCCATTTTGAAACAACTTCATAAGCAAATGGAGGGCGAGTGCGGCGGATTTGGCAAAGTTCAAAGGCGTTCCCGGCCTCGAATCGCGTCCGGTTTTCCAAATGGAGTCGGATCAAAAGGGTTCCTTCTCTGACTAGTGCACTGGGAGGCGGGAATTCCTCCTTGAGCCCAAAGCGCAAGGAGTTTCTGGCGTTTTTCAAAGATGCTCCGACGGGTGAAGGTGCCGGAACTGTTCGGAACTTCCGCAAAAACCATCGTGCCCCTTGCAACGGGCTGGCGATGTTCGAAAATCCAAAACCTGCTGGTACGATAGGCAGGGAATGAGAAATGGAATGACCTGTCTGACCAATCAATTGTGGTTTCCTTTAACAAAATCCCTAGGTTCATTCCCAACACCCGGAATGGGCATTACCTACTTCTCGCACCAGCAAGACAAGGAAAGGGTACACACCTCTTTCACAGACTGTTGAGGGTAAGTCCGGAGGCTTTCTGGGTCCATTGACAGTGCCTTTGGACCCTTGCGCGGGTGCCCATCGTGGTATCCCCTGCTTATCCCCGTACTATTGCTCTGGCATTTTCTGGTATCACCCCCAGCCCGCGGTATCCCCGCTTGCAAAGCGTCCAAGCAACCAAAAGGTGCACCGTTTCCCCCATAGGAGTCATACTCAAAACCGATCGGTACTAAGAACCGATCGATCCAAGAATTAAACGGCGGCTGGGGTTTGGTTGTGGCTCATATTGCTGGAGCAACCACGACCCGCGCGAGAATTCCCTTGAAGGATGGGGTGCCACCAAGGGAAACAGCTACGTCCCCTGGAAGTATTGACGGGAAGCATTTTCGTGGTTGACCATTTTGAGTGGATCCCAAACAGCAAGCGAGAATTCAGAGGGTGAAATCAAGTCAACTCCTGGGTTCATGGAAGATGCCATGCCAGCCCTTTTCCTTAAGCGGGCCGCGTGGACAGTCCGAACCATCTCAATGGAGCCTCTTCTGGCGCTAGAGACTTGTCAGAGTGGGGCAGTCGCTCACTCATTAAAATGCCGAGCGTGAGGCTCCAGTGCCCCAACCTGCCACACCTCTCATGTCATGAAATACCATCTGGGTGAATCTACACTGACTCGAGGTGAGGCCACCCGAAGCTACCACCCCAATTTTTTGCGCCCTGAACGCCTCGAAACACAAGGCTGGGGGGTTCCAAACCTGAGCCAAGCCTTGGGCGGGTCAATCAACCGGCGCGCGTGCGCCACCCCCAGCGATCCGCGGATCCGCTTCAGCGCGAGATGTAGGCGCTGGGATTCACGCCCACGAGCATCTCCATGTCCTGCACTGGCTGACTTTGGCCGCACCAGGGGCTTCGGCCAAAGACCGGCAAGAGAGAAGTGGTTGCAGGTCTCAAAGAAGAGAAACGGCCCAATCTCGAAAGGCGAAGGGTAAGAATAAGGGGTCTTTTCAGTTGAGGGAGCCTGAATTGAAAGGAGGGCAAATTTAGAAACACCCCACCAAAACGCGGAAAGGAACCCATTTGGGGGGGGGGGGGGGCAATTTTGGGAGACACACGAACGAAAAGAACAGAGCAAATTCCAACAGAGCAAATTCCAAGGGATTGCATGAAGGAAAGTTAGCTCCGTTCACATTCCACCAGGAATTGTCGAAAGGCAAACCTGGCAAGGTATATTGCAACAAATCTGTTGAAGCTCGCACGATCCTTTGAATCCTAATGATGTCCCGGCTCAAACAACCTGACCCTTCTCCGCCGTGGTTTAAACAATGCTCAAGTTTGGGTGTCTGTTTCTCCGGGGTGCCCCCTTTTTTTGTGTGGTATTAAAGGGAAACCGCAGGAAAAAAACGCCAATCGTTTGCCCCCCCCCCCCTGAATAAAAAGAAGGAAAACACTTTTGTGGTGGCTTTTATAGGGAAATCAAAGGAACAACCCTTTCTTTTTTTGGGGGGGGCTTGCAAAACAAACAAACGCATTTGAACCACGATTTTTCGGGTTGGCCCAAACCTGCCCACGGCCTTGTCGGTGCTGGCATCCGCAGACACGCCCCCACCGCCCAGCGTGTCATACCTGACGTGCGAGAAGTAGAGAATGATAGGGTGTTAAGGGGGAGGGGTCAGAAGGAGAGAGGTCAAATTGAACAAATCGCGGTTTTGCCCAATATTGCTGTCTAAAACGCGCAATCGAAACCCGCGCGCTCGGTAGCACTCAGGAACACTCAGCAGCTCTCAGTAGCACTCAATAGCACTTACTAGCACTCAGTAGCGCTCAAAGAAACCACCAGTAAATGGACGGTTTAGCTGTTTAGCTCGGGGTCAGCCAGAAATTCACTTAAGAGAAACCATCGGAAATGGATGGTTTGAATCGGGGTCATTCCATTTCTCATTCCCTGCCTATCGAACCAGCAAGGAAACGAACGTGGGACCTTTGGATGAGCCCCAAAATGTCCATGAGACAGGAAGTGATTCCAAATGAGCGATGGACACCAACATGATAGGCCCAAAATGGATGAGCCCGTTGCTTTCTGTTTAAATTCACCGAGCACTGAGGCGTAGCTGCAGTTTTCCGGCTGGATGGTGATGGGCAGATTCACGTGAGCTTGGCTTGAAATTGGGAGTTCCCCAATAGGCTTCCCTTTGGCTACTCCTGGAGGGCAGGGCGGACACGATGAAGCTTCCAACGAAGAGTCACAATCACTTGGGTGTCAATACCGCGGATCCTTTCGGGGCGGCTTGGAAAGGGAGGCAACATGAAACTGGGCTGTCCGAATTCAGATCCCCAACCTAAAGTGAATAACTTGTGGCTTAAACACGGAAACCAGATTGTGTCATGATCATGAAAAAATATAGTGTCAGCAAATATAGCCCCTAAAAGACTGGGCTGTTCTCAGATCCCCTGCTAGAAGTTTCGCTAGTGGGTGAAGTTCGGAAACCAAACCAAGTCCAACCAAATCGAAACCTCAGGTCATCCGGGCCCCACCAATGCAGTCGATGCCTCTTGCCATAAGAAGAAAACATCCGCGCCCTTCCGGGCATTGGACATGTCCACCAAACTGCCCTCCCCGAGAGGGCCAAACAAAACAAAAAAGTGCATACACATGGGCTCGTCAGTCTTGAGAGGGTCCCGGGCTTTTTTGGTGTTTTAGAACACACCCGTTCGGGGGTCCTTGAGCGGAAACATCGCATCTGTAAATCTTTGGCTGGATGTGATCTGCAAAATGCCAGTCAAAATGGTGACAGTTGCCATGGAAACTGGCTAAAGCAATGATCTGCACACCCCGTCATGATGCTCAGTCAGGGGGTCAGCACACAATCCCACCTCAGCACCCAAAACCCATTCACTTTGGTCCTTGGTTCTGCAACCTGGCAAAAAGGGGGGGGGGGGAAAAACACGGCTTGCACCTCCCTGTTGCCCACTAACCGGGTAGCTTGTAATGTTTACGAAACTGACCGACTCGGCGTCAAGTGGTGCATCTCTTCAATGAATCCGATGCGCACCAGATGTAATTGATCAGCTCCTCACCAGACAGACCTGGAACCCAAGTCGGACACGGACCCCGCAGCAGTTTTCGGCTCGAGTTTCGGGTTTTCCCCTCAAACGGGGGGGGAGGGGGGGCAGGGATGGGGGGGGAAAGGGGGAGGGGAGGGTGACCCAAAGATGTCGGCCTTTGACGCAGATGCCCATCTTGGGCCGACAGCAAAGCCAATCAACTGCGCGAAGCTGCTTTTTATGCTCTTGGTTCCAAAAACCTCTGCAAGACTGTGGCGGTTTACGCCTTCCTGTAGGTTTGTTGTTTTTCGCATGGTCGCAAGGGGGGTCAAAAGCTGCAACCACCCGGGGGGCCTCTCGCCCTGAAGCATTGCGTCTGAGGTCCCTGCCAAGAGTCTTATGGATCTTGCCATAGGCGGTCAGCTCGGCTTCCACGTACGCCTCGCTACGAGGCTTCGGACACTCCCCTGCTATTAGAATACGCACACCCAAAACGGCTCCGGGCCAACATGCGGATTCCTCCAACTTAGGGTCTGCATGCTCGTTCTCCGGCAAATACATGCGTGCACGTGTTGCCCATCAATTCCATCACAGTCAATACGGTGGGTGTCACTTTCCAGTCACGCTCGTAGACTTCCCCGGAGCAGTGTGCATACATCAACTGTCATCCGCTATTGCTGGCCAGCCAAGGATTGGCCAGGAGAAATAATACAATTCTGCGAATGCATAGTGCCAGCTGAACATATGGTGATGCAAATTGAACCAACGGAATGCATGCGCAAGCATCATCATCAGCATCCTCTTTGTCGTTGTTGTTGCATCACCGTCATTAGCAGCATCGCATCAAAAACTAAGCTGCCTCTCGCAGGTCCTTATGGTCGAACAGGCTGATGCTTTGGTCGGGTTGATGAGTGCCCCCGTTGTTCGAGATCCCCTTTTGATGAAATGATGTGTGAGAAAAACTACAATGACCCCATTGAAGAGACGCTCCACCTTTTTGAGGCATGGGTTGTTTGTTCCTTCTTTTTAAGCAAACGACCAACTGCTCCCCAGCTCGTTGCTGGGTGAGTTGTCAAACTCGTGACACTTTCCGGACCATGCCGCTCTGACTGAACCCCACCGGCCCCACATCCCCGCAACAAAAAGAAAAGCAGGCTCCCCGAGGATTTCAACTCAATGCAGTTGAGAGGCTGAGTGTAAACCCCCCTGCCGACATATGAATATCTGATATGAACCTATGTATGGCTTGAGTAGCCAATTGTGAAAGGGAAACCTTCAGGTGGCAGGGGCGCAAACAGGACTACAATGGGCTCATGGCATGACAATTCGGTGCGCGAGGTCGACTTTCCTTTGTGAGGTGCTGTAGTTTGCCAATCCGACTCGCTGAAACGATAGATAGGGAATCTGGGAATGAACCCAGGGATTCCCTTACCAAAAAAACATAGGGGATGTTTTATAAGTTTGTAAGGCTCATTCCATCTCTCATTCCCTGCCTATCGCATCAAATGATTCGCAGCATCGATCCTCGATGATCGCAGCATCCGCTTTGCCGTTCTGCATGATCCGGGCCTTCTCACCGATGGCCTGCACGACATGGCCATGAGTCTCATGACTGGAGCAGCGCAGCTTTTTGTGAACCATAGATCAGGATCCATGTGGGCGATACTAGCCCGAAGCTCTGAGAAGTTTTGGGACCCTGGGCTATTTGCAGGCGGCCGGGAACTTGGAACTTGACCGGTGTCCGGATGAATCTTGCCTGTTCAAGCTGCTGGTGTGGAGCGTGTGAGGGAGCCATATCCCACACGCCCACTTTCCGGGTTTGTGGCGTGTTGTCCCGCAACGGCTACGACCTACACAGGGCAAGCGCCATGTAGAATATTATGGAAAAGCCACAATGGGCCAGGCCTTCTGAACGAAAAATCGCATCAGTCTGACATTGAAGCTGATCACATCGAAGGTAGTCTTAACCTTGAACCATTGAAAATATTGCTCACATCCAGATCATCCAGGTCCACAAATCGCGTGACTCATGCATCGCCTTCTGGATGGTGACATTGGCTTGGGCCTGCCATCGCAGCGAAAGCTGATCGGAGGTTTTGCTGTCAAGGCATCCGGGTTGAAAGAAAACATATAGTCACTATAGAAGGTTTTCCAGCTGTGAAGCCAAAAACATGGGCTGCTTGGAACGGGGAGCAAACTCTTGGCATGTTGGCCTTTCTGGCTTGATGCCGACTTTCTTTTGAGTCTTGTCCCCGCTTGAGAGGAACATGGAAATCCAAGGGACCGATGCAAAGCGCCCCAATTGGAACCTTTGCAAAGACAAAATGAGAGCACACAAGGAACAAATCAACGAATCACCCGGAGCCAAATGATTCATTCCAGACATTGCTGGGAATGGAAGCTCCTCTCCCAGCCTCCCAGCTGCCTGGCATGTGTGTGTGTGTGTGTCATTCCTTTGAGAAGAGGGAAATGCCATAGACCTGCAATGCATCGCACAGACCAAAACGGGTCAGCAAGTGAAAACAAAGATCTGACCCCTGGCAACCTGGCACTTTCTGCTGCTTTAAACGTCTCTCCAGGGAACCCGCAGCCCTTGTTTTTGCGGACTCTTCAAACAACCGTCTTTGTGGGTTGTAAAACGCCTTTCCAAGAGGGGGCTTTCCTGCGGCCAAACATCGAGGGGTTGCCTGGTGGCGGTGGCCTGCAACTCGATGCGCATTTCAATCAGCGACTTGCAGCAAAGACAAAACACCCCTGCTGCACATATACGACAATCCCCAACTAACCCCCCACCCCCCGCCGAAAAGAAAAAGAAGAAGAAGAAGAAGAAAAGAACCGAAGCGGCCAAACGGAACTCGGTCCATGGTTTCCACGTCCAGCTGAATTGATATCAGGGAGACCTTCATCATGGAAGCATTGACCCATGCGATCATTGCACTCCCCTGTAGCACAACCTGCGAGAATCTCTAGGTGGGTTCCAACTTTTAAAGCAAACACGGGAGGCCACTGTGGTTGAGAGCTCCACCGTGAAACCTCTTCGTTTCGCGTCTTTTTTGCGACTCGTCGGAAACGACCTCCGCGATCTGCCGGGAGGTCTGGAACTCCACTCTCTTGGCTTCCAGCGTCTGAGCATCCCGCCGGACCGGAGATCTTATTGTTCTTTTCGGCGGGGTGTTGGATGAGGGCGCGCCCGAACCCCGACAAGGAACCCAAAACCCACCCCCCGACAATTTTTGTTCTTTCACCCCACGACAAGAAATCGCTTTGGGGCCTCCCGAAAGCAAAAAGCGATTCTTGGGCTCAAAAAATCGCTTTTGCTCAGCCTGGGGCCTCCCGAAAGCAAAAAGTGATTTTTGGGCTTCAAAAATCGCTTGTGTGGGGAAGAGGAAAGAAGACCGGGGGAAGAGGAAAGAAGACTAGGGGAAGAGGAAAGAAGAGGAAAGAAGACCAGGGGAAGAGGAAAGAAGACTAGGGGAAGAGGAAAGAAGACTAGGGGAAGAGGAAAGAAGACTTGGGGAAGAAGAAAGAAGCTTGTTTTGGGCTGCAAGCATCGCTGTCGGGGTGTCGGTGTTTTTTTTGTCGTGGGGTGAAAATAAGAAATTGTCGTGGTAACCAACGTTTTAGTCGCAGGGTTGCAGTTTTTTGGCGTGGTTAAGGCCCGTGCTGGTTGGGAGGCGGGCGTTTCGGCGTTTCGGGGAGTTGGTGATTTGTTGGGCTCAGCCCCTTGGTTTGAGAAGGGCAGCCGAGGTTGGTTTGTGTTTGGTAAAGGGGAAATGTGAGCTTCTTTTTGAGGAGAAAGCTGCCTCTGTTTCGGCCGCAATCCCAGAAAGAGAGAACATGGATGGAAATGGGCGAGTTGGCGAGTCGGCGCGTCTGGCCTTTTAAGGTCCCCATACTGGTCCACATGCCTCAGCCACCGAAAGGAACTCGCTTGAAATTGAGTCAGGGGCCACGGAGAAGCTCGACTCAGAACCCCCGACCCCCGAGCTGGTCTCCTAAAAAAAGAATGCAACCTAAAAGTCTCACACCCATCAAAAACAAGGAACCGCCCATCCGGATCTCGGCCCTAAGTCCGTGCAAATCTTCAGAATGGAAGGGTCGCGCCCCCAATGATGCTTGCTTTGTAAACCATCGCGGGCGCACGACTAGACACTTTCTGCCGTAAAACGCGCGCGTGCGTCCCTTGCTTTTGTCTACAAATCACAGGCTTACCTCAGGGCCGCCCCGCCCCACCCCGGAGCCTATCTGGGCTGAGACCCCTTTCAGCTTTCAGCTGGGGAACAAAAAAGCCACAAATCCGTGTCTCCAAGTCAGGGGGGCACCAAAACGAAGAGTTGGTCTTCTTGGTTTCCTGTTTGCACCTACCAAAAAGGCAGGGGCTCCCCTCTCCCCCCCAAAAAAAGTAAAAAGAGTTAGTTCTTCTTGGTTTCCTTTCTGCACCAACCCAAAGGACAGAGACACACCCACGAATCCCTAGGCCTTGGACATTCTGGTGATGTTCTGCTTGCTGGTGGCGGCAGTGAGGATGGTGGCCGTAAACGCCTGAGATACGCTTCGTAAGCGCCGCGCCGTTTCTGGGTGCCAGCTTCGCTGAGTCAAATCTGGGCTCCCCTTCGATCCCCTGCAACAAGTCGGAAAATGTTTAGAGTGGTCTTTTAGTGGGAACTACGACCAAAAAGAAAGACAACTAAAAACCCAGAGCCTCAGGGACCGGACTGGGACGCCACCAAGAAAACCGGCTCAAGCCCCGTTTCGGGATTACCCACTTAGGGCAATCCCCCTGGAGCCCCCAAAATTCGGGGAGCGACTGACCCAATCGAACCCGACTGACCCAAAATTCGCCTCCGGGAGGTCGTCCTCGGAGATCTGCAAAGACTCCACCGAGGCGAAGAGGTTCTGAGCGCTTGGGCGGCGGCGTGGGGCGTGGGGGCGGGGGGGCTGCGTGGCGAGTGGCTCCCTGCGAGTGGCGCTGCGTGTTACTCTCTTCTCTTGCTGGTGCGATAGACAGGGACCCAGTCAGGGTGTTGGGAATGAAACGGAATGGGATTCCCTGAAAGAAAGCCATGGTTTAAGCCGGGGCCTGCCTGTCGAATCAGCAAGTCGTCTGGTGTTGCGTAGTCTTGTGCGCATAAGGGAGAGGGTGTCTTCTTCTTCTTCTGCTTCTTCTTCTTCTTCTTCTCCTTCTTCTCCTTCTTCTCCTTCTTCTCCTTCTTCTTCTCCTTCTTGTTCTTCTTCTTCTCCTCCTCCTTCTTATCCTTCTTATGTTTCTCCTTTTTCGTCTGCTCCTTGTTCTTCTTCTTCTACTCCTCCATCTTCTTCTGCTTCGTCTTCTCCTTCTTATTATTATATTTATTATCCTTCTTATTATTCTTTTTAGTTTTCTTCTTCTTCTCCTTATTATCATTATTCTTATGATTATTATTATTATTATGCTTCTTCTTCTTGTCATTATTATTCTTCTCCTTCTTATTAAGTTTGTTATTCTCCTTCTTCTTCTCCTTCGTCTTCTTCTTCTCCTCCTTCTTCTGTTTCTTATCATTATTTGTCTTCTCCCTCTTCTTGTTCATTATTGTCATTCTTATTCTTCTTATTTTTCTTCTTCTCCGTCTTCTCCTTCTTCTCCTTCTCCTTCTTCTTCTTATTCTTGTTATTATCCTTATTCTCTTTTATTATCCTTATGAGTATCATTATTCTTTTTCTTCTCCTTCTTCTTCTTCTTCTACTTAGTCTTCTTCTTCTTCTCCTTCTTCTCCTTCTTCTTCTCCTTCTTCTCCTTCTTCTTCTTATTTTACTTCTTTTACTTCTACTTCTTCTTCTTCTTCTTCTCCTCCTCCTCCTTCTTATCCTTCTTATGTTTCTCCTTTTTCGTCTGCTCCTTGTTCTTCTTCTTCTACTCCTCCATCTTCTTCTGCTTCGTCTTCTCCTTCTTATTATTATATTTATTATCCTTCTTATTCTTCTTTTTAGTTTTCTTCTTCTTCTCCTTATTATCATTAGTCTTATGATTATTATTCTTCTGCTTCTTCTTCTTATTATCATTATTATTATTATCATTCTTATTAAGTTTGTTATTATCCTTCTTCTTCTCCTTCGTCTTCTTCTTCGCCTCCTTCTTCTTCTGTTTCTTATCATTATGTGTCTTCTCCCTCTTCTTGTTCATTATTGTCATTCTTATTCTTCTTATTTTTCTTCTTCTCCTTCTTCTCCTTCTTCTCCTTCTCCTTCTTCTTCTTATTCTTGTTATTATCCTTATTCTCTTTTTATTGTCCTTATGATTATTCTTCTTCTTTTTCTTTTCCTTCTTCTTCTTCTACTTAGTCTTCTTCTTGTTCTTCTTCTTCTTCCTCTTCTTCTTCTTCTTTCTCTTCTCCTTCTTCTTATTTTTCTTCTCATTCTTATTCTGCTTCTCCTTCTTCTTCTTCTTGGGTGGGGGGGGGGCGGTGTAATGGCACTCCCGCCAAAAAGCACATCCACTGGCTAGCTTGCTCCAGTTGCGGTTTATCCAAGGAAGTTTTTGGTCAGGAAATTCAGTGGTACTGGAATTAAGTGGGGAACAAACAAACGGAAACACGTGCCCCGTGGTGGAAAACCGGCTTGCTCTTTGGAACGATTCTCCCGCCCTTGGCTTTGATGGCTGCCACCTTACGTCAACCGCAGCCAGTTTGGGAGCAAGATGGGCGCCTTGTAACAACTCCAAACCGGTGGCCTGAGAAACCGTGGGCAAAAATCACAGTGGAAGTGACTACATCGGCCGATCTTGGTCCCGACTCACGGTTTCGGGCAGAGAGCTTCAAAGTGGCTTGCTCAGCAAAACACGCATTCATGCAATTCCTGAGGTGCCAAGAACGAGAAAGCCCAAGTGGATGCCATTCTCAAGATTTACATGGAACAGAAACACCCGACTGCCGGACAACTCTTTTCGGGGGCCTCCGTTTCAATCAGGACCATAGCTTCAAGTCGCATCTTTTGCCCCCTCGCCGCCACCCCCGACCTTCGAGAAGTAGTCGTTCAGGCTATTCCTCATCACCTGGCAGAGTAGATTTCCCTTAAGCAGATTCTAAACCCACTTGATTCATCAGGCAGGCATGACCATGGCATGACCAGGCCTGCGCGTGTGTCTTTTTTTCCACAACAGCTGAAAGCTAGGGATCTTAGCCCAGATAAGGTTTGGGGGTGGTTTGGGGAGCCTTAGAGTCAGGTTCGAGCAAGGTTCCAGAGGTGCGGGCCAGCTGTCGAAGGTTCCGTGGTGGTCTGGTGCAGGCCAGGTGATCAAGCAAGGTTGTGGAGGTTCCGGGGTGGGTGCAGGCAAGTTTCAAGGAAGGCTCCGGAGGTTCCGGGGTCGGGGGTGGTGCAGGCCAGGTGGTTCAAGGAGCGACTCCGGGGGGCGGCTTATGAGGTAAGGCTCCGCAGAGTTCCGTGAGGGTTCTGCAGGTCCCGGTGGGGTGGGGCAACTCTGAGGTAAGGTTTCGCAGGGTTCCGCGAGGGTCGAAAAAGAGTGCCGTGCGTTGGTACAAGGGTGACCCGGCAAAGTGGATTTCGGCTTTCATTTTGGTTTCCCTTTTTAACCTACCAAAAAGGGTACCAACTCCAAAAAAAGGCCAACCCCATGGCAGCCATGTCCGTCTTTTTACAGATCCCGAATCGAAATCGACGTCGCCTCCGCAATCTTCTGCTTCTCGTTGAAGAACTGGTAGGCTGTAAACCTGCCGGATCTCCCCGCAGAGAGCAACTTGGTCTCAGGGCACCGAAGACAGGGCAAAGAAGGCTTGCCACCTTTCGTGTCACCTCGTGCCCCCCCCAAAAAAACTGGGCCCCATTTTGGGTGACCATTTGGAATTCAGCCACCGGGGACCGCAGGTCTTAGTCCATATGTCCATAGGTTTCCCTGCTAGACACCTATTTTTGACCCACAGCTATTTGTCCAAGCGACCCGCGACAGTCCTGAGGATGTGAGGTGGAGCGTCTTAACCCAACTTTCGACAACCAAGCCCCGGCATCACAAAGCCCTGGGGGGTCTCATCGCTCTTGCAAAAAAAATCTGGGAAAGTGGTGCAACTGGGGACCTCCTTTTTGGCTCGGTTTGTCAGATGCCTGAAACATCCAGGCAAAAACCATGCCCTTGTCACATTGCAGCTTCCTTCAGGCGAAGTTCAAGGTTGGGAGGGATTGGCAACCAGAAAAGAAAACTCCGGCAACATTGTGAGGCAGCATTCAACCCTCAAGTGCAGCATCTTCAGCTTGCCTCCAGCAACATCTGGGAGCTAATGGTTTGTGTTAGCCTGAAATGACCAGGGGTGCGAGCATGTGACATCTTGGAGAAAAAAGAGTCCACCCTGGCAATGGAAAAACAGCAACATGAGAACATCTAGGGAGGGGGGGGGCATCCTTCCAACGTCCGAAGCGAGTGCCCTTCAGACTGCTTTTCCTGAGCCCCGAAGGTGATGGGATGACTCCATCAAAAATCAACAATGCAGCGCAAAAAAACAACACAGAAACAACAAGGAGGTTCCTCTCCGAAATTTCGTGTTGTTGAGAAACCCTGTTGCAGCCCATGAGGGCTGGAGGTTGCACCCATCCAGCAGAAGCCAAGCTGGGTGTCAGCGCTTTGTCGCCAGCTCCGTGATCATGTGCATGCCTGCAGGCATGCCGCACGAGGGCGCCAGGAAAAATCTGAAACAAATGGCTGTGGCTCAAAAATGGTACCCGACATGGGCCCTTGGCAAATTGAGAAACAAAGACTAAAGCCTGAGCCGAATCACCCGAATGGCTTCCTTTTGATCTCCGAACTTCACTCAAAATAGGTTCCCAATTTGGGACACTCCGACTGCATACAGCCAGAAGGAGGCGGGCAGAAGTTGGATGCCGGCCAGCTGGGAAACTCCAGAATGGATTGTTGACGTCTGGCGTCCCGCCGAACCCCCCCCCCCTCCAAAGGGAGCATGAACAAAAACGTAGGGGAGATCATCGCGGGCCGAGAGAAAATCTCATGACAGCCTGCTACGGTGGGAATGTGGAATCACTGGAAAGACCCTTTGCAAAAGTCTGCTCGAACGCTCAAATCGCGAAGGCCAGTTTGAACAGGAAAAGGGCACCTGGGCCCTTTTCCAATTTGGTGGTTTGGGTGTCGCGCTCCCTTCGCGTTCACTCGTTTACCAGAGTCAAGCAAGCACCCAGGATCGAGCTCGGGTGTCGAAATGGCGCCTCTGCCTTTTGCCGACTACTTCTCCCAGAGGCAGGCACGTATCTTGTGGAGATGGCCCTCCATTTGCCTATGGGTCAAAATCCTTTAACTTCAGTGACCATAAGGCTTGTTTGGCTCCCTTGGCGGTTTGGTCTTGCTCGCAGCCGCTTTCCTCCCAATTGGCTCATGACTCGAGAATTCGGTCCCTTCATAAAACGCCCCTTTTTGAGAAGGGAGCAACTCGATTGTGCCAGCGGCATCTTGCCAGCGGCATCCTCCCCCGTCCCCCAATCTTCATGAACCCCGTCTGGGGGGGCGAACTGGTGAGGGGGCCGTAGCGCCTAAAGGCTATGAGGCTTTTGGGATAGCCCCCAGAATTGGCCCATAGCCCCTATCCATGATCCTGCCATCTGGCTGTGGCTCAACCCAGAATGGCTGGCCCTGTAACATGGACCAAAACCTGCGGTTCGCCCCTCTTTAATTTTGAGCCACACCCGAATCTGCCTGCCAGCTTATAGATGTTCTCATAGTCCCCGACATGGTTCTCATAGGTGAAGTACAGCTCTCGAAGGCCTTTCTCCGAATGCGCAAAGCCCCAAGACTGGCGAAGCTTGGGAGCGAAGTCGGGGCTCAACTCCTTTGAGGAAGGCTTCGTAGAAACTTGGGGGTTCTTGGTAGGGTGCGGCCACCCACATGCTTAAACCACTGCTTACGATGATTCTTCCTTTGTAAAGGTGGTGTTTAAACCATATTTTGCCCCACCCAGGTTCTTGGAAGGCTTCTGACCTTTTGGGGCCCCCGGGGGTCCGAATGTTTCTCCTACCTCCGACCATTTGAGGCCTTCAGGCCTTCACACCAGGTGTCGCAGGTGCGCCCAGAAAAAAAATGGGCTGAGACGCTGGCTGCCATAGGGAAACCTAATCATGCGTATGTTTGAACCAGTGGCCCACCCCTGCTTCTGGTGACTGCGGTTTGACTAGAAACGAAGTGCTCCCCCGCAAAAAGACTCTTCCAATGCATCCAGAAGCTGGCTTCACTGTTTGATCTAAGTTGATGGTTTGTTGGGAGTTTACTTCTTGGCTTAACCTGTTGGATTTGTTTGCTTCCAAAACATGGCAAGGGCTCCCGCAAAGGCGACACATCCCGCCTCCGCCCAAAAAGAGTCCGGTTTGGAGCCCTGTGGTCTGGTGGTTAAGGGATGGTTTCCCATTTACCCTCCACAAGAACCCGGGGTTCAAATCCAAATCCAAACCGCCAATCCAAGCCACCTATTAATTCGTACTGCGACACGTACCATTCTTCTCTAAGACTAAAACAAGCTTGGGAAAGATTCCTTCGATGGCGCCGGAGAAAATCCAACCTCACGGCGCTCAACACCTGGGGCCCCTGGCGATCGGGCAGCAGGCGATACTGGAAGGACAGACCCAGGATCAGGGGCAGGCCATCCTGCCACATGAACTGACAAGTAAACCGGACACCCACAGATCTGCCCCTTTTAGATGTCTAAACCACTGAGGGAAACCAAGCGGGAACTGGGGCCCGAAAGTCGGCGATCGGTTTCCTTGCAAGGCGACCGGGATAAGACAAGTCACGGATGAACTCCGGATCGCGGAACAAAACTGGGGGGATGGAAGAATGGGAAAAGGGAAAACCATTTTGAAGGGAAAGCAATAATGGAAACTGTTTTCCACTTCTGAAGGGAAAACCATTGCGGAGATTATGGACCAGCTAGCAGCATGCAGCATGGGCTCTCTGCGCCTCACTTCCTGCGGGACTGGTGGCGCCGGGACGTTGCTTGCTGCATAGGGAGAATATGTGGGTCTGGCTTTGTTTGATGGTACCTCTTCAGGGGTCCTTACATTATACACCTGAACATCGCCTTGTAAATGGTGGTTTCCCTTTATTTTTGTGGAAAAAGACATGTTTCAAGTGGGCAAAATGTATCTTTTGAGAAGCCCTGCTTTCAAAGAGAAACCAAAAGGAAAGCCCACCCATTTTGGGGGTCCAAATCCTAAAACACAAAGATTTAGGTGCTCTGCCGCTCATGTCTCTGGCTGTCTGGCTGGCTGGTCGGCACCTTGACTAAAATAGGTTCTAAAATGGGTGGTGCACCGAAAACCCCCAAAATGCTACCATTGGTTTTGACCGCCACAGCCATTTGCTGGCTGCACAACTTGGCTTGGTCTCATCTCGCTGGTCTGTGAGAGAGATTGCTAACGAATCTTTAGACTTTCACTTGTCGGGCGACGGTATGGAGTGCTTGGCCGGGCCAAAGTTGGGGCAGTTCAAATCTCTCCAGGTACCACTGGTACTGCTCACGCCGCACCGAGACCACAAGAAGTCCGGCTAGACTTTAACTTGGTTGAAATCTGTTGGGTTTTCCGTAAGCCCCACAAAGTAAACTGTTTGCAGAGGGGTCAACAGTAACCAATTCTTGGACAGTTTAGAGATAGGGCCACCACTGACCCATGCCAAAGAAGTCCGTGTCTTTGACACATCACCTGGCGGCCAGGCTTTGTAATTGTTTCCTTCCTGAAAGAGAGGCTTCACAAAATGAAAATTGGCTGTCCTTAGTGCTTGCTTATAAGCGAGGGGGGAGCAGCAACTTTGGATTCAACCGATCCAGCAGATCTCTGCACAAAGCAAAATACCCAAAAACCAACAACCACGCTTGCAACCACAAAAACAGTAGAAAAAATGATGTGGAAGATGCTCCTGTTCAACTTCCAAGCCGTGGGGCAATCCACATGGCAGATCACAAAATAAAAAGCAGCAAAAGACAAGCTGATTCATCAAACATCCGTTACAAAAAGGAAAAAAACGCACCGAGTCTGCAACCCGCGGTGTCTCGCAAAGGATGTCCTGGGTACGGCCGTCAAGTAGGTCATGATGAGCCTGGCAGGTGCCAACTTGGATGGGATCCATCCGTCATAATTCCAAAGCCTGAATTCAGGGACCTTTAAAAATAGGTCCATGACCCCCATTTCGGGCAATGACCCATGTTCAAAGGGTCATGTACCAGCAAAACAAGACGAGGCCGGAGTTCCATCCTTTTTCGGGGAGTACTTCGTCACATGCAAAAAAAAAAGGGATTTGCCTACAAGGGTGCCAGGAAGGGCACTCCCTTTCTTTCCTTTCGGTGAGCCTTGTCCGTGTGACGCGGTCATCTGTGTTTGAAGGGGTTGGGGGGCGCTAAGGCAAGATCAAGAAGCTGTCATCTTTAAGGAATCCCCAAGTAAAGAACCTGTATCATGGTAAGCTCTGAATATGGCCCCAAATAACCTCGCTGTAAGATAGGCATATGTTTCAAGTTTCACCCAGCTGAAATAGCGGCTCTTGTCTCGAGGAGAGTTCGTCATGGGTTCTTCGGTCGAGAGCCGTTGGCCATGGGGGTCCATAGTGACACGAAGTCAAAATGACCCTGATTCGGAGAATGAGCCCACAGGGTCCAAAAGCAATGTTGAGCCTTCCCCCCACCCCCCACCCCGCACAGAGTTTTCTGGAAATCAAACAAAAATATCCAACTTGAAGCTCAATCCTTGGGACAAACAATCCCTGAATTGGACCGACAAAGGCGAGGTCCGCCATTCCTACGACCCGGGACTTACGCTTCCAAGAAATCTTGAGCCATGAATGGATTGGTTCTCCCCCGGTCAAAGGAAGGCTTTGCTAGGTTCGGGGTTCATTCCCTAGTCTTTTCAACTATCGCTCTTTTCAAAAACCAGCTGTTTCCTGTAGGATTCTAATGGTTAGTTTTCTGGAAAGAAGGATCCCCGGAAAGAATGGGGAAGTGTCCCTAGAGTTTTGCGGATTTCTTCCATCGGGTTTCCAGATCCAGTTGATCTGAATCCGGAGCAAGCGCTGCCTTCCTTTCTGATCGCACTGAGATTGTCAAAACTGGGAATCCCCCCTCCCCCAACTCGGCCTTCGGGAAAAGGACAGCAAAGCGAGAGTTCCAAAATCAGGCCACTGGGAGATGTCAAAATCGGTCCTGTGCAATGCAAGGAACCCATCAGAAAGCCAACCATCTGGCATTACAGCTTGAGAGTTGATCTTGATTGGGAGCCCTTTGATGCACATCAGTTGACATGGGGATTCATCTCCACCGTAAGGGTGTCCTTTTCTGAATTGTCATAGCCATTTGACGAGGCGTGTCTTTTTGTCAAGGGTAGCCGTTTTGGATTGTCAAGGGAATGCCAGGGGAAACCACCCATTTGGCCATGGGTCAAACTCCCGTACCCCCAGTGAACATTGAACATCCCAATCCCCACTAAAATAGGTTCTACAATGGGTGGTACACCTACCCCAAAATGGTGCCATTGGTTTTGACCCACAGCCATGTTGTTTTGTCCAGGCTCCAAAGCGGCTGTTAATATGCTTTGCCCTCCCAACCTTCCCCATTCCCTGACGACACCCCCCCAAGACGTTCGATCCTTAGGTGACATTTACGTGTGTCTGTTTTTGGGGGGTACCGAGGTTTCTGTGGCTTTGGAGGAAAACAAAAAAGAAAACCACCACTTCGGGGGTGTGCTGAAACCATTTAAAGCCACAATCTGGGTTCCAGTGGCCGCTTTGCAATGAAACTTTGCCGCTCGGCCCGCCTGGTTGTACTCCAGCGTTTGGATCGTCTTAGGATACCTGGCGTGGCACAGGGGCTGTAAAAGGAAACCAATCAGTTGTGGGACCCGTCCCCTGTTTTCAGGCAAATTCAGAAATCCTCATGGGAAATGCTTGCCCCTTCGTCGATACTCAGCAGGATTCTCATCTCTCCGAATACTACTGTGGATGGACGAAATCCTGCACCACTTTGAAACCATGGTTGAAACAATGGTTTGTTGGTATTTATAGAGGAATGGAATCATTCCGTCGTATCTCACTCCGGTTCAGGGGTTCCGTACCTTACCCCATCTTCCCCCTCAAGTTTCAGGAGGCGATTCGCTGATTTCGGCTCGAAGGACAAACCTCATTCGACTAATGCCTTGGAATTCCCGAGGCACCAGACCAAACGGTGGAAACGGGTGATGAGTCGTACCCAAAGCTTCGCACCATGATGAAGCCTTGCAATGATGAACCCACCGACGCTTGATCCGGCCAAAATGGAGGAAATGTCTACTGTAAAGGCTTGCTACCAGGCCGTACTGTTTTCCCGCTAGCAAACAGCTGGCGGGAATCTCTCACGAGTGCTTGTGCAAACCGGACAGGAGCTTCTCTCAAAATCCCAAGAGCGCAACTCACATGCTCCCTTTTAACATCACCCTTTCAAGAAAAGCTCCGTCCACGTTCAGAGTGATGCTTACCCCAACGCAAGAAACCCGGGAACCTCCCCTCCCGAGCTTCCGATCCATCCCTCAGCTCGCCCCCCCGCCCCCGCCCCCCCGCCCCCCCCACCTGATGAGGTCGTTGAAGGGGCCCACAAACTTCAGGCCTGCGGGCCAAAGAACGGAGACTTTTTGGAACGGGCGTCCAAAAGGAAAACGAAAAAAGCGAAGCCAACAAGAACCAGCCCGGAACGGCTCAAGCGCTCGGAAACCAACCGAAAAGATGCGGGTTTCCCGCCAGAAAAATCACGGGCCCTGGAGTACCAGGAACCCTCCTGTTTTGAGGTCTGTTGGGGGTCCAAGGCCCGGCCAGGTTGAAGGTCCAAGGGAATTCCCCAGGGTTCCAAAAAAGGTCGGAAGCAGAACGCGAGTGTCTGAGGAAGGCCTGGTGCCGTTTGGCACTATCCCACATTCCCTAAGAGGTGCTCAGAGCGTGCTTTAGTGCTTCGGCGCTTGCGGAGGCAGCGATGTTCGCTCTTCGCGCGCAAGCGCACGGGGCAGGGGTGTCCAACCTAAAAGCAGCTGCGTTGCCCACACAGAGGAGCTTGAATAACGTCGAAAGAAGGATGGAAACCAAGGATTGGGATGCATCTTTGAAGAGGGTCCTCGTTTTGCCCGTCGATCCCTCTATCGAATGGCCGCTCAAGCAATGCGCTTAAAACTGCCTGGCGTTGCGCTCTGCCTGGCGTGACCACGATCTCCTCGCTGACCGTTTTCCACAGCCAGTTGTACCTGGAGCCATCTGCGTTTGGTTTGGTTGTCCTTTCCCTCGGACAACTGGGGCAATGACGCGTCGCGATGTGTCGCGAAGGAAAAGAAAAAGGACCGTGCAAGAATCAACTGCGGATCCAAGAAAAAACAACATCCGCCTGGATAAATCCTCATTTGAGGCCAGCTTTATTGCGTTGGTCCTAAAATTGGGGACACCTATAAATGGTTGGCTTGCTTTTGCTTGCCCTTGAAACACACAACTCCGTTTTGAAGGGGGTACTCGGCGATTCTGAGGTGCGGCCTTCCCAAAAAAGGAAGGGGGGGGGGCCGGGATAATTTGGGGACGTATGTTGGTCCACCCTTTTGAAAGGGCCCCCTTTGGGGCATCCCTAGTTGTCATATGTATTTTCCCCACCGCTTGTGAGGTGTCGCGGCTTTCTCGGGAGTCCTATCCCCCCAAATGTGTCGCCAGAGCTCCCATTACAGCCAAGCAGGTCGCACTGAAAAAACATCAAGGGGGAAATGTCTGCTTTTGAGGCTCCTGACCTCCCTTTGGGGTTGGCTTGTTGGCTTAAAGGGAAAATCAAAAGGTGAAAACCCGCCCCCAACATGCCCGGGGAGGGGGGGGCTAAATAGCCACCCACCTTTGTCTTGACTCAAAACAAGGTGCCCCCCCCCCCCTTTTCTCGGGATTCGGCCTGCAAAGGGCCTCCAAAGTGGTGATTAAACTTATCCATCTGAGGCTCGGCACCCTCTTTTCGGGAGAAAGAAAGGACCACCAAGAAAATGCCTCTCTTTCTTTGAACCCAAAACAAAAGGCAACTTGTTTGTCCGGTTTCAAAAGGAAGACCGTAACACGCTCGAGGAACCGACCGACCCGCTCGAGGAACCGACCGACCCGCTCGAGTCGGCACTTCAAGGCCACCTCCGTGGGCTGCAGGGAGGCGATGGACAAGGCGCACAGCAAAACCTCGGCGCCCGCCGACCATCCGGTCGTCCGGTCGTCGCAGGCGCCGAAAACGTCCGGCGGGCGGCCAAAACGTCTGGAAAGCGCCGTTCGGGAAAGGCGCCGGCCGTGTTGGTCTGGTTTGGGCTGAGAGTGGTGGGGTCCAACAACAACTGTGGCTTGGCCAGAAAAGAGTACCAGAAAAGACGAGCCCTGAAGCACAAGGAGATTCGAATCTCTTCATGTTCGGAAAAACTTCCTCGACTCCTTCCGATAGAACCCTCGCAAGGGCTGAAGGTCCTGGGATGCTCAATCCCGGCCCCGCCTGGAAGAAGCGACATTCCAAGCTCACCCTCCCGTCCCGCGGCCCGGATCTTCACCATCCGCTCTTGTCCCTTCTTCGGACGGATCGCCGGCTCTGGCCGGGGATGTGTGTCTCGGAAGCCAACAGAAGAGAATCGAAAAAGCCCCAAAATGGCCACGGCTTCCAGTTGAGACTTCCCGTTGCCAAGGTGCCTCCAAGGTGCCCTCCCACAACACAAATGTGAAAGGGCCATAGGCCATACGTGAAGCTTCTTCAACCAAAGCCACGGAGCCATGGATAGGAAGTTTTTGACCCGGACAGGAAAATGGGTATCCCTATTGTTTGGGAGGGTACCCTATTGTTTGGCTTAGGGAAACCCAAAGGAAACCACCCATTTGGAGGGGGTCTCCGAAAAAAGACACCCCCCATATGACTTCAAAAACCGGACTGTTGAAAGAACATGGTCTTCCGGGACCGAGGCGCAATGACATGGGGATTCTTTATTTTTGGGGCAACCCCTCACTCGTTTCTTTTCTGCTTCCCTGGTGAAAGCCGCAGAACGTCCCAAAAAAGGGGGAGGACCCTCATCTCTTCTACTTGGGTGACTTTGCCCAAGTCGGTCGATGAGAAGGCGTTTGGACCCCGCTTGCCATGTAAATATGCGTCAGGAATCCCCCAAGCATAGGTCACCTTTTGGAAAAATCGATGGGTTTCCCTGGAAAATGGAACAAAGCCCAGCTCAACCAGTGGAACCCATCCATTCTTTAACCAGGCTCACCGAAAAAGAAAAAAGAAAGGACACCTCTGCCCCCAAGACCCCCCCCCTTACGGTGGATGCCCCTAAATATTGCAAGCAAGCCAAACACAAACCCATGGGGAATTTACGGGGTTTCCCTTGCTCCCCACTTGCAAAACACCCCAATCCCCACTCAAAATGGGTGGTGAATTCACCTGCCCACCAAAAAATGAAATCCCCAAAACGGTTTTGACCACCACAGCCCAACTGAACCCTTCCAACCCGAGGAAGAGGCCAGGAAGATGCCCAAGGTGGTGCCCACAAAGGCGAGGGCCATGGCGCCCGGCTGCGAACAGCACCCGCGCCCCTTGGAGCTCTAAGTGGCTCGGCTTTTTTGGGGAAACAACTGGAAATCTAACCTGAAGCTAATCACAGGGAAACCCAAAAAAACAAACCAGGCCTTTTTCTTGAGCTTGATTTCTGGCGAGTTAGGCGCTTGCTTTGTTGGCTCCTTCTCCTGCCGCTTGCCTTTCTGATGGCAGACGCGTCCGTCCGGCGGACGCTCAAGTGCCGCCCGAATCTCCAACTGGAGCCCCCAAACTGTTGATGTCGCCATTTTGTAGCGCAAAGACGCATAGCCAAAGAAACACTCCAAGTTTTGCTGGACATGGTGTCGGTACTCGCTAGTTTTGCTTGGGCCAACGATTCTGCAGAACTTCGCTAACAGCCCCCCCACCAGCGGACAAGTTGATGCACTGCAAGCTGAAATTCAGGAAGGAGTCCAAATCTTGGGGACCCCCGTTGGGGGTTCTGAAAGGGAAGACCAAAACTTGGGGCCCACCACGTTTGAGGCCCCTCGGCCGCCTTTTTCTCTCTGCGCCTTCCAAGCCACGGGGCCGCGGCATATCCATAGGTGGCCTCTTGGGAAAAATAGCAAAGACCCTGGCCAATGGAACAAAACCCAGCTGAACCCATTAACTGGTAAATGGTTTACCCTATTTTTGGTTCAACCCTGGTAAATGGCAAGTGGAACCCACTCCATTTTCAACCAAACTCACCGATCAAAAGGACGCCTATGGCATGGCTCCTCTCAGGAGGCCAGGCTCGCAAAGAAGGGCCGGTTCCTGGGATCGCGCCATCGAGTGAACGCTCACGTGGCAGGCAGGTTGCTGGTACGACCCCGCCAAACGGGTTAAACTTTCGGGCCCGAATTGGACACTGCCACCTGCTTCAACCAAAAAGTTGAAGTCCAAAGATCCGTTGCCAAATAGCCAGAAAGCTGGCATGCGGCCCCGAGGCCTAAGAGCAAACCAAGTGCCTTTGGGTCCTTTGCTAGAAGCCACGGACATGCACTGGACACACTGCGCCCTGCTTGTTGCACAAAAATGCCTCACTGAGGGTCAGGCAGCAGAAAGCTGTGCAGCTTTGTCGTGAAGACCTCATCAAGCACGCGCAAGCCAACTCAAATGGGTGTCTTTTTTGAAGGGACCCCAAAAATAGTTGTGTTGTCTGCTGGCTTCCCTTTGAACCAACCACAAAAAGGGTACCCTCAACAACAGACGGCCCACCCAAATGCCAATCCCGGAATGAAGCCTAAAGAGTGGCCCTTCGTGCTTGATGAGTGCCTCAAATGAGGATCAACCTTGTTTTTTAAAAGAAATGGTTGCTTTAAGGGACGTCAGGACAAACCAAGGCCCAGCCATGTTTGTCCATGCCCTGCTCACGGGGACCGATTGGCGTCTCTCAGGCGTGCTCGTTTTGGCTGGGAATTCCAGGGACCCCTTGCTGCTCTTCTCGGTGAGAAAGGTGACCTTGCAGGGCTAGAGTGACAACAACATCTGAAAGTTGGTCCTCCAAGCCGAGCATGCACACTTGGGTGTCGATTCTGAGGCGCCCCTTTTGGGACTGTCCTTTAGAACCAAAAGAAAACCCAGCTCTTTTTGGGCACCCTGGAGACAAATCCATTTGAACACACCTTTGAAGATAAGACGAACGCCGGAATCAACCTAGATGGTGGTTCATCCGGATTCGGATTCCCCCTTAATGGGCCTGACCCAAATCGCTTCGTCTGGGTCCGCGGCCGGGCACTTGTGGAGGTCGTCACCCAAGTGGTACAGGGGGTTCTTGATGACGTGGTCCACGAAGAGTTGGTAAATATGAATGAGGGACTCCTGACTCGTCACCGAACCAACACGACCCCTCGTTTGTTGGGGTGCAACCAGGAGCTCGCCAACAAGGAGCGGCAGAGCGTTGGCAAAGATTGACCTGTAGAAAACCATCGAGGTACACACCTCGAAAGATTTTCTGTTGCCAACCCACCCACCAAAATGCAAAAGAGACAAAAACAAACGCTGTCCTTCCTGCCCCCGCCCTCGAACAAACACCTCCAAATCATGGATTTTCTGTTGCCACCCATCAAAAGCTAAAAAAGGAGAAAAACGCGCAGTGTGTCTTAGGCAATGGGGTTGCCGCCCAGGTCCCGCCTGCTGGTCAGGAACGGAGGGGTCCGTGGTCAGCACGAAGCGGTACCTCGAAAGGGCAAAAAAAAACCTCAACATTACTAGAGTTAGACCCAGTTATAGAATGTATATTTTATTGTGTGCTTCACTTTGAGTCACTGGGAAAATGTAAAATGTATCCTAAGTCTACACTGGTCAAGAGTTGAGCCGAAGCGGCGGTTCACGGGGACGTTTCGAGACAGGCAGAAGGCGTCCTGAACTTGGGGACCCGCCGCTTTTAGATGGTGCTTGAAGGCGGAAAACCGTCAGCACCCACGGCCACGGCCGGTTGGGCGGCTTCAGTGGAAAAACGGGAGGGGGGGGGGGTAACCGGAAGACGGGCGCCGCTTGCAACAGGGATTCGTTCCGCTTTTACACAGGGTCCAGCTTCCTCTCCAGCAAAATACAGAAATTATCAAGAGGCAACCCCAGAAGGCAATCACAGGTTCGACGAGAAAGCCTGAAAACCACGTGCCCTTCGTGTGGTTGCCGGTGTTTTTCTTACCTTTTAGCTTCCCCATTCTTTCCAGGCATCCATTCTCAACCAGGGCTGTGGGGAATGACCACTTCTGTGATACAACAGAAAGGGCTACCCAACGACGATTTTGTTCTTATAAAGGGGGATTCCCTTGTATCACAGAAGTCGGGAAAAAGACCCGAGTGATCTCGCAACCCGGTTCTCAACCGAACTGACCAAACAGAACGCCTCCCTCGGCTTAAAGGCGATCTGGGCCAGCTATCTGGGGCGCCGGGCCCCGACACGGTCTCAAAGGAGTGAAGCTTGTACCTCCAGAGGTGAAGGGCCACCCAGACAAAATGCGTGCTGCCCATATCAACCCCCGTTTTCACCAATCCAAGGGAGACCCAAGCAACAAGTTTGATGCCCATATAAAAATATATCCCCTTTTGTTTGTTTCTCCCCAGATAGCTGAAAGCTATAGGGGTTCTAACTTCTAAGAAAGAGAGGAAAGTGATGGTGTAATGGTTGGTTCCCAAACAGCTAGCTGAAAGCTGTTCGGGGTGCTTGCCTCTCAAGAGGGGGCAGGCTGTTTTGCGAGATTCAAACCAGGTTGGTCCTGCAGGCGCGGGTCAGGGTGCTGTTTTGGATACTGTTTGGGCTGTGCCTTGGTGGCTGCTGGTGCCAGTTTTGCGATGCAGTCAGGGTGTGGTGGTGTGTGCTGGTCAAGGGGTGCTGATCAGGGTGCTGGTCAGGGTGCTGTTTGATGTGTTCAAAATGCGGCGCCAGTTGCAGGTGGTGCTACTTTGGCGATGCAGGCAGGGTGCTGTTGTTGCTCCTGGTCAGGGTGCTGTTTGGGTGCCAGTCAAGCTGCGGGGTCAACAGGCAAACCCTGGTTGCCCTGGTTCTGAGATTGGAGAGTGTCTTACTATTGGAACCTAGGGTTGTCAATGCCGAGAACAAGGGAACCAAAAGTGCTCTGTTTATCCTGAAACCTGTGACAGTTGAAGAAGCCCCTCGTGCCACGTTGTGACGGCCAACCAACATCAAACCCAACCACCTGTGCAAGCAGAGGAACAAAAAAAGCGTCGCTCCAACTTCAAAAAAAAAGAAGCCGCACTCGGTTTCCTAAACCAAAGTCCATGGCAGCCCAGCTCAGCGCGCCCCATCTCCACCCCTTCCGCGACACCCCCCGAAAACCCCGCGTGCGTGGACTCGGGCGGGGCGCTGGGACGTGGCGTAGGCGAGGAAGGCCTCGGTCCTGGGCGGCCCCAGCTGCCTGGCGCCGGACAAGGGGCGAACCGGTGCCACCGCCTCAGAGTAACCCTTTTGACACGAGCCCTGAGGAGAAACCGAAGAAACAAAAAACGAAAGAAGCACATTCGTGCCTTTTGAGACGGGGAGAGGGGCGTTTGGATCGCAGAGTTCGGATTTCAGCCACCAGTTGCCCTGGTTTGAAGGATGGGTTTAAGCAAGTGGTAAAAAGACACCACATCTTGCCCTTGCCCAACACTCTTCAGACACCACCCCTGGATGGCGATGTCTAAAACAACAGCACGGGGAAAGATCGGGAGCCCCGACCAACACTTAACCGGAGGAAAGGAGCATAGGTGTCTCGTGTGTTGGCGGAACTGTGTTGAGTTGTGATTCTCTGGTTGTTTCTTGTACTTTTAGGTCAATATTCAAGACCTATTTGCCTTTCTTAGCTGCTCTTGTGATGAGTTGCCCTGTTCTGTTTCTGAAGCAGCTCAATTGATTAGTGTTGCTCCTCGACAAACACGGAGTGTGCAGGTTTCTGTGTACAATAGTATGTTTTGGCCACAAATATGCTGAAGCAGATGCTTGGCACGATCCAAAACTAGGCTTGTGCTGGACAGATGCTAGCTAGCTTGACATGTACTAGATGGCTGGGCATGTGATAGAGCAAAACAACGATAAGAACAATGTTTCACATGAAGTCAAACATTCATTCAGCGTGCAAGACATATTCTGATGAGACTATGCAAGAGGGATGCTGGGACATATGTCCACAAGTACAGAAAAGGCAAAACAACATGTAGTAGAACTATGCCGGACACATGCTAGACCTATTTTAACAGAGGTATTATGATGCCAGAAACAGGCCACACTATGATCGACCCATCGCAAGACACAATATGCACTTGCTAGACACATGCTGCGAGTGCGCAAACCAGCTGGAGATACTACTATAGAAACAGGCCAAGCATGATAGATTTACATTGGACATGTGCAAACCCAATGCGCTAGACAAAAAATAAACTAGCCAGACATAAGCTTTAGAAAACAAATGGGAGTGTGTTAGAACTATGCTGAACATGTGCTGTGCACTTGCAAGGAATACATGAGACACCTGCCAGGAATTCAAACGCGCTCTGGGTCTGTGTCAGAAATCAGACGCAAGCTCTTTGCTGCTTTACGCCTTCTACAATCATGGTGTCCCCAGCCACCCTGACATGGCGGCTAAAAGAGGGCGGTCCGATTCTGTTTGGCTTGGGCGTCCAAAGTTGAAAGATCCGCCGAGGCTCCAAACTTTGCTTATATCACCAAGGTCGACACAAACCCAGGGGTAGTTGCTTGCCCCTCCGGGCTTGCGACCTTGCCCAACGGCCCCACGGCAAGCAAAGGCGGAGCCGCTGGCAGAAGGACTTCAAGGTGATCAGCAGCCCGCTCACATACTTGGACTCCTGGTGCTTCTTTGGTTCAGCTGCCCAATCGGTGGCTTAGGGTTTGGTGGTGGACAGTTTCCCATTTACCCTCCCCGTTCAGCTTCCATCGAATTGGTTTGGAGCCGAGGTGGTTTTGATGGTTAAGAAAGGGGTCCCATTTACCCTCTACAAGAACCAGAATTTCAAATCTCCAAACCACCAACTAAGGGCTACCTGGTGGTGGTTGCTGTGGTTTGTCGCTGTTGATGGTGGCAGTTCTCGTTCTTGCTGCCGCTGTTGCTGTTCTTGCGGTGGCGTTGGCGGCGGCGGGGGCGGCGGCGGTTTGTGTTTTGCACTCTTTCTCTTCTGGCCGGGCAACCCGCATGCCAAAAACCAAAAGACAGCCACTAGATGTCTCGCTTTGCTCTGAGATCCTGATACTTTTTGGCTGCCAAAACTCGAGTTGTTTGTGCTGCTTGCGGGTGATGACGCCAGCCAATTTGTGTTCCCACAACCTCGCGGACCCTTTGGCTGCCTTCCAAGCAGTGGCAGACCCTTCTTGCGCCTCACTTCTTTGCTCCCAGTCCGTCGCTCCGCCTTTGGCGATGTCTGCCAAATCCAAAGGGCGCAAGCCTCAAGCCTCAAGCCCAAGAGGCCCCAACGCGCTTGGGGAGAATGACGGTGGTGAACGATCCGATCACGACCGAAACCGGTGATAGGTATGTTCAACCAAACTGACCTGTCTAATATATATATATATATATATACACATAATATCTCTATATATATATATGTAGCAGGACACCTGTGCAAACCTGCCGCGTGCAGGCATCGACAGCACCAACATTGGAAAGGCGCACGGCTTTGTGCCAGGCTCTGGAAGCATTGAGGTACAGCCCTTCATGCCATGAAACCACAAGAGTCACAATCAAAACCCGGTAGTAAAGTGGTCTACCCAAAACCATGTAAAGAATTTAGAAGGCGGCCGCAGCTATTTCTGGTTGGGATCGTCCCTTACTAACCTTCACCTACCCGGGTTTTGATTGTGACTCACAATGCTTGATCCCCCAGACACGAAAAGACAAGTTCACGGAGGGAAGGAGTGCGCTCCTCCTCGACATCGCGGCAAGGTCTTGTGCGATGCCACTCCTGACAGCGGAGTCTTGCGAGGAAACACGAGATGTTTCTCCCTCTTGTTGAGCGCAGGGAACCCGACGCACTTTAGAAAAACCGGTTGGCAGGCCTCCAGGAGGAAATCTGCACGTGGGCGATACATGTCTCTACTAAGATCCGAAAAGAACCACCCTAGGTGGGAAACACAGCAAGCGGAGGGTGCTCTGACAGGGGTGTGAGGACGAGTTTGTCACTCTGGGAATGATCTTGCTAGGCCCAATTAGCGAGAATCATGGAACGTGTCATACTAAGTCACTTGCAAGTGCCACAGAAAGTGGCAAACACAAACAGCGCATTTGGGAGTCACAAAAGCGGTTGGAGGGGTTCCCTTCTCAAAGGACCCCTTCTTGCTCCTCGCGGCAAAGCAGCTTCCTCCCCCGCCCGAAAGCGTAGAAGTTGTAGATCCTCCGCAGGCGGGTGGATTGAAAATTTGGGGGAGGGAGTGTCGCCACAGAGATGTCGCAACCCCATGGCCGGCTTCCCATGGGGTTTTTCCGCTTGAACAAGTTAAAGCAACGACAACAGGAAAAAGTCCTCCCGAGCGCTTGAGACGCCTCCCGAACCCCACCCCCCAAAATAGACAAAGGAGCCCAATGGATGTTGACGCCGGAGAAGAAAAAAACGCCGACCTGTGGTGGCTGTGTGCAACGAAACAAAAGCTGGGCGGCGGAGTTGAAAGGTCATCTTCATGGGAGCGGGTTGTCTTCTTTGGGCAGCCCCAAAAGAAGACCGACCCAAGGAAGGGGCAGCATGGGCCTGAAGACTCTCGACCATCAGTTTCGACCCTTCAAGGGCCTTGAAGGATTGCAGGGCGCCCGTGCCCACAGTGGCTCTGCAGAGACCATTCCCCGCACCTCCCCCAAAAAAAACGTGCAGAAGAATATCCCGGATAGGCGGCACCCAGCTGGGGGACCAACTCGAGCCCCAAGCTTGAGGTTTCGGCACCCCTTGGAACTGGGCGCAGCGAAGACTTCAGGGCACATAGCGTGGTCCCTACCGGGTAAGCTTCAAAGTGTCCATTCACCCAACGAAAGATATGGGTTTACCTAAATGGTCGGCCTTTGTTTGTTCTGATCGGAGCCCTGAATCCATTTAGTATCCAAAGTTGAAGAGGCGTTGCCAAAATGAAAGCCCCCCAGCCAGAGTTGCTTTTGTCAACAGCGACTCATGTCTCCTTTTCTTCGAATCGGATATTCAATCGGTCCTTCCCCTTCCCATGTGGGTGTGGGTCCAAAATTGGGTAACCTCAAAATGGCTTGCCCTGGCAAATGGAAACACGGACTCAAACCTGCGTTCCCAAGTCTCAACCGCAAGCAGGCTCTGAGCCGCCGGCATCGACCCAAGCCGCGCTCAGACCAGCATGGCTGGGGCGGCCCCTTGAACTGACGGATTTTCTGGTGGTCTCTTTACACGGTACCCTTTCAGCATAGAAGCTGACGATCGGAAGGTGTTGGAAGACAATGTTCCTGTTGTGTTGGGGAACCCCTTTTTTCCCCAGGTACCCCCCGTCCTCACTCTTTTTTTCGCTGGTCTACAATCAATCAGGCCGCTCCAATGGCGGGTCTCCTTTCGAGTCACTAAAACGCAGTCTAATGCACCAGTTCCAGGTGCTGCACAACATGCGATGCAAGTTACAGGTCGAAGGAGTTGCTTTTGGGTGCCTGCCCAGACGAAATACCAATAGATTAATCAAATGAATTGAAGATGTTAGGGCGATTGATTCAGGGCGTGTGATGCTAGCCTGTCACGGTGCCATGGAAACAACCAGATTGAATGTACCACTTCAGATGCCAGTAGTTGTTTATTTGGTTTTCCTTTAAACCAAACCCACAAAGAGTAGTAGTACAGACCCACACGGACATGCAGCCCTGGTGCATTTTTGCTTGCGTGCATCGGCAGCTCGGCTCGAGCCGTAAAGAGAGAGCACGGGACAGGTTTGTTTCCCTGAGTCCAACATAGGGATGTTTGAAACCACAAAAACAAACAACCCCATGATGTTCATCCAAGGGGAAACACTGCTCGTCTGGCCAAAATTCGCGAAATAATGCCATGAAAATGCCATTGGTCGGTGTCCCCACCGGAGTAGCCAGTCCGCCAATGGTAGCCGAATAGCCGATGGCAAGTAGCATGGCACCCTGAAAGCGGACGTGACGAGAGTCCACTGACTAGGACGCCCCCGCCGAAAATCTGAAGCGAGGGCACCCGAGCAGTCTGCGCAAACTTCGCTTCAACGTCGGCTTGCGGGCTTTCGGAGGGGTAGAACGAGTCGGCCTCGGGAAATGTGGTCTTTGGTTTGCAGCGAGGCAGCTGTCACGTCAACAGGCACGAAGGCTGAAGAGCTCGAAACCGGGTGAATTCAAATATTTCACCAACCTGAAACTTGCGGTGGTTGGGGGGGCCATTCCAACCACGTAAACCACCATTTGGGGGTGAATTCGGTCGTGTGAGCTTGTTATTCACCCAGAACCATACGGCTTCGCAAGATCTTGGCTTCGGTGATAAGCCTAGGCCACTAGAGCCCATCTATGTTTCAACCGAACATAGGTGTCCGTTTGGGAAAAAAACAAAAAACGATGGGTGTCCCTAATTGGATGGCGTCACCATCTAAACCAGTGGAACCGACAAACTATGCGATTAAAAGGACACCAAACTGAACCGAAAGTAAACCAACGTAAAATCCACAGGTGTTGCGCTCGCCTTTCCAAGAAAGATTGCAGACTTCACGTAACAAACGCGGATATGTTGCTTGTTTGGGGGAGGGGGGGCGAATACTTTTCAAGTTTGTATTTTCGCATACTTGTATAAATCCTATCCCTTGGCCAATGCCGAAACGTAACCCAGGATCCAATGTGGTCCGCCTTAAAGATGGCCCCCCCCAATTAACATAGTACCCAACAGGGGCTCTGTTCCCCAGGAGGAAACTCATCTCAAAAAGCTGTTTTTTGTTCATGCAAGGGGAGTCAGGTCCCTCGTCGCGCCGAAAACTTCCTGCCGACTTTCATGAGCCTCTGTGGCTCATTGGGTTCCTGCAAAGTTCCAGGTTGCGCCAGATCGCGTGGTACAATCCAAGAATGAAATGTCCAGGAAAGCCCTTGCTGATCATGCTCAACCACGCAGCTTGCTAGCACCGTGAGGACGGCCGCAAACGTGCTTTTTTCGCACTCAGCAGAACCAGCTGTCGGGTCTGCAAGTTGTCGTGTGCTCGCGGAAGGAGTACTTGGGACAGTACCTGCGCGAGAACCAACCTGATGATCTGCTTGGCTTGGCCTCAACCGTGGATTCCACCTTTGAGAGCTCTACTTAGAGTTCTAAGCAAACAAAGTGATGGAGCCAGTGGCTAAGGCTCAGGGCCCTCTTCGGCTCAAGGTACTTACCCTTCGGAGCCAAGGAGAAAAAAAACTAGACGACGAGTGGCCCGGAAGCATAGAGGCAAGTTGATGCAGGTGAGGTAACTCTCGCAAAGTTAGCATGAGGAGTTGGCAGGCGAAGCAATTCTCAAAAAGTTGGCATGAGAAGCTGGCAGGTTAAGTAACTCTCGAATAGTTGGCTGGCAAAGTTGGCGGGTGAAGTAATTCTCGCAAAGTTGACATGAGAAGTTGGCAGGCGAAGTAACTCTGGCAAAGAAAAGTTGGCATGAGAAGTTGGCAGGTGAAATAAGTTGGCATGAGAAGTTGGCAGGTGAATAACTCTCGTAGTTGGCGTGAGAAGTTGGCTGGCAGGTGAAGTAACTCTCTGGCAGCTGGCGAAGTAATTCTCGAAAAGTTGGCACGAGAAGATGGCGCGTGAAGTAACTCTCGAAAAGTTGGCGTGAGAAGCCGGCAGGTGAAGTAACTTTCGAAAAGTTAGCATGAGAAGTTGGCAGGCGAAGTAATTCTCGAAAAGTTGGCGCGAGAAGTTGGCAGGCGAAGTAACTCTCGAAAAGTTGGCAGGCGATGTTGGCAGGTGAAGTACCTCTCGAAAAGTTGGCATGAGAAGCTGGCAGGTGAAGTAATTTTGCGAAAAGTTGCCACGAGAGGTTGGCAGATAAAGTATTTCTCGAAAAGTTGGCATGAGAAGTTGGCAGGTGAAGTAATTCTCGAAAAGTTGGCAGGTGAAGTTGCCACGAGAGGTTGGCAGGTAAAGTATTTCTCGAAAAGTTGGCATGAGAAGTTGGCAGGTAAAGTAATTCTCGAAAAGTTGGCATGAGAAGCTCGCAGGTGTAGTAACTCTCGAAAAGTTGGCATGATAAGCTCGCAGGTGAAGTAACTCCTCGAAAAGTTGGCACGAGAAGTTGGCAGGTGAAGTAACTCTCGAAAAGGTGGCATGAGAAGCTGGCAGGTGAAGTAATTCTCGAAGTTTCGGCATGAGAAACTGGCAGGTGAAGTAATTAACCCTCAAAAAGCTGGAGCGGCGGAGGCGCTCCGCGTGCTACATTTGCAATTTACAGTTGCGATTTTCCAGCCATTTGTATCTAAAAGTTGCGATTTTCCAGCCGGAGCTGCGGGAGCACGCTCCGCGTACTACGTCTGTACTTAAAAAGTGCGATTTTCCAGCCGGAGCTGCAGCAGCCTCCGCGTACTACGTCTGTACTTAAAAGTTGCGATTTTCCAGCCGAGACGCTCCGCGTACTACGGAGCTGCGATTTTCAAGCCGGAGCTGCCGCGGACCAGGGGGGAATCGAACCCGGGACCGCGGGATTGCGAAAGCAGGCGCGCACACCACGAGACAACTTCCAAAAGCCGTTTCGCGAGCAAGAAAATCGCACGGCGCCACAGCGAGAGCGCTTCGACACGCACGATCTCCGCAGAGGGTTCATCGGGCTCAAGACAGATGCGCACGGCGCCACAGCGAGAGCGATCCGACACGCACGATCCCCGCAGAGGGTTCATCGGGCTCAAGACAAATTCGCACGGCGCCACAGCGAGAGCGCTTCGACACGCAGGATCTCCGCAGAGGGTTCGCCAAGGTCAAGACAAATTCGCACGGCGCCACAGCGAGAGCGCTTCGACACGCACGATCTCCGCAGAGGGTTCGCCAAGGTCAAGACAAATTCGCACGGCGCCACAGCGAGAGCGCTTCGACACGCAGGATCTCCGCAGAGGGTTCGCCAAGGTCAAGACAAATTCGCACGGCGCCACAGCGAGAGCGCTTCGACACGCACGATCTCCGCAGAGGGTTCGCCAAGGTCAAGACAAATTCGCACGGCGCCACAGCGAGAGCGCTTCGACACGCACGATCTCCGCAGAGGGTTCGCCAAGGTCAAGACAAATTCGCACGGCGCCACAGCGAGAGCGCTTCGACACGCACGATCTCCGCAGAGGGTTCGCCAAGGTCAAGACAAATTCGCACGGCGCCACAGCGAGAGCGCTTCGACACGCACGATCTCCGCAGAGGGTTCGCCGGTCAAGACAAATTCGCACGGCGCCACAGCGAGAGCGCTTCGACACGCACGATCTCCGCAGAGGGTTCGCCAAGGTCAAGACAAATTCGCACGGCGCCACAGCGAGAGCGCTTCGACACGCACGATCTCCGCAGAGGGTTCGCCAAGGTCAAGACAAATTCGCACGGCGCCACAGCGAGAGCGCTTCGACACGCACGATCTCCGCAGAGGGTTCGCCAAGGTCAAGACAAATTCGCACGGCGCCACAGCGAGAGCGCTTCGACACGCACGATCTCCGCAGAGGGGTGCGTTTCGTAAGCTCCCGTCGGGCCTACCCCCGCCATAAAAAGAAGAAGAATTAAGAGTCGAGATGTGAAGGTAGAACAGAAAAGTTAGCTTGTGTTTTTAGGATAGTGAAGTAACACCCGACAAATTAGCTTGTGCTTTTAGTAGAATGAGATAACAGCCGAAAAGTTGACATGAGAAGTTGGCAGGTGAAGTAACTCTCAAAAAGTTGACATGAGAAGTAGGCAGGTGAAGTAACTCTCGACAAGTTGGCATGAGAAGTTGGCAGGTGAAGTAACTCTCGACAAGTTGGCGTGAGAAGTTGGCAGGTGAAGTAACTCTCGACAAGTTGGCATGAGAAGTTGGCACGTGAAGTTGGCAGCCGCTTTTAGAAGAAGAACCCTTCGCAATGCTTCCGGGAATAAAAGCTCGCTTCCAAGCTCGCCACGTCTTCCTTGGGTCAAAAGCTAGGGATGCCTCGAAGTGGCTGACGTCCCTTTAAAGCCGTTCTGACCCTTGCCCGTACGCACGCAGTGCTTTCTGTTGGGAGTTTGCACTTTCTGTTTGGGCTGTTCTGGGAAACTGCTTGAGATTCCTCTGAAGGCCCAGCAGAGCCCGCAACAGTCTCGGACTCTTGGTGTCCCTCTACCACAAAATCAAGGGGTACCCTCCAACAGCCGTGGTTCCTCCAATTCCCTTTTTGGAACCTCCAAAAAGTGTTGCAATTTCCATGGACGCCACTGGTTTGTGCATCAACTTCAGGGGAGAGTCCAGTGAACTCCAACACAGCCGAGCCGAGCCAACCGCATGCCACCCAACCAATCGCCAACCGATCTGATCCTCGAGATCTCCGCGAGAAGTCCGAGCCACCGAGGCCCTGGGGGCCCCTGGGGGCCCCGGCTCCCGCGCGTAGGGCTCCCAAAGCTTCCGGTTCACCCCGTGGTGGCGCCAGGGCTTCAGAGGCCCCGTCCAGTGCAGCACCTCGCAACCCCGAGGCGCGAAGGCGGAAGCGCGCCACCAGCGAAGGCGTCGGAAGCGCGCGGGCGCGAGATGCGCCGGAAAAGCGCGCGGGACTTCTTTTTTGTTTCGGCTTATCCCTAAGGAGCCCAAATGAAATTAGCGGTTCCTCTGCATGAATTCTTTCCTCTGATCAGCTGTGGCCCAAAAATCACCCAACCAGTTTATGCATGTGCTTCTCCCTGAAATGTGGTTGCTGCAACGACCCCCCTACAAAAAGTGAATAACTGTTTGTGGGTTTAGTGGAAAACCCAACAGATTTCAACCGAAACGTTGAAGTATAAAGATCCGGTACCCGATAGCAGTCAAGCTGTTAACCCCATATGATCACCCAACCAGTGAATTCATAGTTGCTTCTCCCTGGGTGAAATGTGCTTGGAATCAGACCACTGTTTCAGGGGAACGCAAATGTAACAAACTGCGGCGATGAATATGGGGTCGACATTTGGTGGTTTGGAGCCCAGTTTGCAGCTTGGGAGGTCGTTTCCCAGTTCACCTCAAGAACCAGAGGATTTCTCGAATCCAAATCCAAGCCACCAATCCAAACCACCAACCAAGGGTACTGGTCAACTGCTCCCGATGAGATTGTCTTCTTTGGGGGGTGCCCCTTGTTGCTTGGTGTTAAAGGGGAACCAAAATGAAAACCGAAATCCGTGTTGGGCGGTTGCTATTTCATGAGCCCTATTGTGAGACAGATCCTCCGTAGGAAAATCACCCGAAAGGGTAACCCATGACTACTTTGACAAAAAAACAAGGATATCTTGGTATCACAGAATCTGGTCTTACCGTGGGTTCCATGCTTACGATTCCTCCTTGTATTTGCTACCCCCAATTCACTCGCGTTTATTCAACGTTCTCGCGCAGTTGTTGCCCTTATCGCATTCTTGTCTGGGGCGAGCAGCAACCTCTAGGGTGTCGCCCTCGGAAAGCTTTTTAGCTGGGGCTTGACGAGACTTCTGCATGGCGTGTTGGATTCAGGATCTGTTTGGCTTTCCATGCTGAAAGTTGAGTTCCTCTGGAAAATGCCATGAGGTGAAAACTCCTTCCAGTGCGCTTCAGCAGATTCCAGAACCTTGGGTTACATCCAAAAGCTGTGGTTGCCGATACAACAACAACACACTTTGGCAGGTGGCATTTTTTGCTTGGTTGTGGTTTCACCCAAGGCCATCTTTGAAAACACGTGTGTCTCTTGAAACACAAAGGCAACAAACAAAAGGAAGTAAGTTGATATGTGGATGTGTGTTGCTTTTGGTATCCCCGAGATGGGGCCAAAGACGACACGCCCGAAAAACGTCAGGATCCTGGATGAAGACGGCCAAAAGGCCGATGACTGACCGGGAATTCTGCGATTCATGAGGGGTTCCGGAGTCCATCTTCTTAGCGCCTGAACTCATGGAATCCCACACGGAGGTTCCGCTAGACATAGTTATTTTCCGGGAGCAGCCTTCTTGGGTCGAAACTGGCAGTGACTCCAGAAAACCCGAGGACTGCACCCGCGCTTCGTTCAGCCTCAGTACGATGCAGCGTGTGAAGTCAGTGTTGCCCGTACTTTGCTGCTTGCCGAATCTTGGATGACTTTGCTCACGCTTTGGGTCCCTTCTCCTTTTCTTGAGAACTACAATGAAGTGGGATCTGCGCTCCCTTGTGCCAGCTTGAGTACTTCAGAGGGGGACATGGTTCGGCGCCAGCGTCGTAAAGGGCAAGGCCATTGCCGAAACGAACTAACATAGTTGAAAAGTTGAGAAAGGAAATTGAGTGCGCCCTGATGGAAATTCCATAACTTCAAAAGAGACAATCCACCCCCGCATACCTGCCCAGTATCGTGGAACGAGGGGGTTAGCACTCTTGGGTGCCCCTAAGAATCCCATGTTCAGATCCTCACTTCCCAAGTGGATGGCCCAAAAAAGTACGGTTTCGTGGTGTTCCGGGCTGGTGTCCCATTCACCCCACAAGGACCAGGCTTCAAGTCCCACCCTTCCCAAAACACCAACCCTCCCTTCCTGCGCGCCTTGCCGAACTCTTTATTTCGCACCCAAATTGTCCCAATCCCAAAAAGTGCTCAAACAAACTCCACCGATTTTTCAAGGGACCGAGAAAGAGAAGATCCTGCCGTCCACCGGCCATTTGACCTGGGTATGGGTCAAAATTACACCACCAAACCGCAGGTTTTAGTCCTTGGTTCCATTTACCACATTTCCATTCTGGGCACCTATTTTTGACCCACAGCCACCTGGAGGAAAAACAAAAAAAACAGCTCTCGGCCCAGCTCGGCCCATCGGCCGCTCGGCCGAGGGGCACGTGCTTCGGGTAGTTCAGCCGGTGCCCGAGGCCATCCACGTTCCAAGACCAATGCAGCGGCACCACCTCGGCAGAGAAGCGCCGGCGCTTCTCCGCTCGCTCCCTGGATGGTTGAACAGATGGAGGGTTGGAGCCGAATCTTCCATGATCCACATAGGGAAGTTGGGACTTTCTTTCTTTCTTTTTTGGGGGGGGAGGGGGGAGGGGGGTGGGGGGGTGGGGCGCGTTTTATCATTAGGGGGAAGGGATTGATCCACATAGGGAAGCCGCTACAAAAAGGACCGGGACCGGTTCCTTGCGGAACCGAAGATGGAAGGATTCAGGATTACCTTTGAACAGCCCAGTTTCATTTTTGGAGTTGGACCCCCTAAAAGGGTGGAGGTGTCCTCTTTTGGTTCCCCGGTAAAACCACCCCAAATAAGTTGGGGTACCGGGAAAAGGGGAACCGGATCGTTCAAGAAGCGCCCCAAAGGCCATGTTTTCAGGGGTCGCCAGATTTCCGGCAACATGGGCGAGTTGCTGGTGATGTCCATGGAAACGATCGCCACTGTCGGAAGTCCCAAAAGGAAAATTGAGGAACCCGGCATTTTGGCTGGTCTCCATTGGGTTACCAACAGACCGAGGGGAGCTTCAATTGTAACCTGAAGGGTCTTTTTGGCAGTCCTGGGTTGGTGGTTCTTACTGTAAAGGGAAACCAACAAGAAATCCACCACTTTGGGTCTACCCCCCCCCCCCGAAGGCCGTTGCTTTCGCGCCGAAGGCCTCGTCGTGGAAGAGCAGCAGCAGCGGCGGCTGTGAGCCGTGCAGCCAAAGGCGGCGGCGCCTGAAGCAGGCCAAGGCCGCAGCCCTCCGTGGATGAAGATCATGTTACTTGGGAGATGAAATCAAAAAACCTAGTAAGTCTGAATGAAGCTCATGAAGAAACAAACCTCCTTCTCATTCCAACAAACGAAGCCAAAAAGAGGCCACGAGGGAGAAGCGAAGCCCAAAAGCCGGGACCTCTCAATCAGCTCTGCTTTGGAACCGTGGCTTGGTACTTACAGGAAAATCGAATCCTTCCGTTGGGTTTCTTGGTGTGCGTGCAGACACCATCCACAGAACTTCTCACGATGGGAGGTGCTCGGAGGCTGAGTTCACAGAGATCCGTGGGACTCGGGTGACAGTAACCCCCCCGCTCTCCTGAAGCTCGATCAACATGTTTGGATCTCTCTTTTTTGGAAGCCCCGGTTCTGGGCGGAAGATTGAACAGGTGTCCACCCCGCTTTAGATGAAAGCGAGCCACAACTTTGGGGGCTTGGCGCAAAAAGCTTGGCTGGCTTCCGTGTTCCGCTTTGTTTCCCTTCAAGACCACCAAAAAACACGGCACCCTCAAAAGCCAGACCCATTTGTGGTTCTCGCAAAATTCGGGGACCCAGCAAGTGGTCTGGGTCTCCTGAAAAGGAAAGGCCCGCCCATGTTGGGGGGGGCCGAAGGCGCCCAAGTTTTTTGGGGTTTTTCTATTGCACCCTGGGAGTACAAGTTCCGATCCAAAATGACAAGGGTTGAATCTGGAAATGGTGCGGAAAATTGTAGCGGGCTGGGCTGGCCCCATCATTTCTACCATCCACGTCACCCGTCACCCCGGCAGACGGCTAAGCTAAAAAATAACAACGCGCAGGTGTTTCTTACCTTCAAACAGACAAAAGACATGAGCCCAATACCTTGCAACCCGCCAAATGGAAGACGTGCAGGGACTTATTGCAGCCAAGAGCCCCTAAACAGCCAATACCTGAAACGAGGTTGCAAAATAGACCCTAAGTGTCCATCATACGGCTCGGCTCAGAGACCTCTTTTCGGAGTCGGGCGGGTCCCCATGTAAGGGGATGTTGGGGTCCAACCAGTAGGAAGCAGGGCAGGAGCAGTGCGCTCGTGTCTTGTCTTGCAGATGGCACGCCCCTCCTCAAGCAAGCTTCCCTGTTTCAAGCTCCTTCCATTGGCCTGAAATGTGTTTTGCTCCCTGCAAGCTTCCCAAAAAACACGCCTTGCAAAAACTCCTTGCAATAAAGCTTACTTAACCTTCTAAGCTCCCGTTTGCGCTCCCTTGCCAAATCTTGGCCAACAAAAGAAAATCAAAAAAACCTGGCAACACAAAAATCCCTTCCTTTCCAACCCCCCAACCCCCTTCAACCCCCTCCAACCCCCCCCCCCCCCCCCGGAACTTCCGGGAATTCCCGGGACTCCGGGACCCGCAGCCGACCCTGGGCTGTCCGGCGCGTTGGTGGCGATCCACTCCGCCACGAAGCGCGAGGCCTGGCGCCGCCTGGCGGAAGGAGAAGGATCCGGCGGGCGCCGGTGGGCGGCTCGTCTCGCTTTTTTTGTCGGGGGAGTTCCCGTTGTTTGTTGGTTCTAGCCGGAAATCCAAAGGAAACCACCCTTCTTTCTGGGTTGGGGGCTTGGGGAGGTTCCCCTTTTTTGAGACAAGCCCATGTGCAAAGGGGGTTTGAACCCCTCAGAAAAGAACCGGCGGGTGGTCCTGTGTGTTTCCCTAGACAACTTTGAAAAGGGCGCCCTGCCAAAACTCACCTTGGACTTGCAAATGGGGGGGGTCCCGTGGGTGTCCTTTCGGCTCCCGTTCTTCTTTTCTTGCTTCACCTTTGGCGTCCTGGCTTGAGATAACCCCAAGGGAGGTACCATCAGGCAGAAACAAACCCATCTCGCCATGGGCCCATCTCGCGGGGATGCGGAAGATGTTCAGGAGCTGGGGAGAGGAAACGGCATCCAACAGAAAGCAAAACCTGCTGTCAGCTTCTGTCAAAAAACGTCGAAGAAAACGGTTGCACAAAGGATACCCTGGCACACGTTGCGAAGCTCTGGAAAATTTGCTTGCCGGAAAACTCCTTGGTGCAACGTATTTTTTTCGACCAGAAGACACAAGAGCTGTTCTTCATGCGAGTTCAAGGCGCAACTGACCTTTAGGCCATAGGCCCTAGGCCCTATGGAACGGACCGCGTGCGGGCCCGCACCCTTCCAAAGCTCTGCGTCTGAGGGGAACCAATGGCCTGAAACTGAATTGGGCAACTTCCTGGCTGAGGCTATGTTCTTGGCCGGGTGGTGTGTTTAAAGGACAAAACCAAAGGAGCAACACTGGGAAACAAACCCAACTCGAAAACCGAAGCTGCACTGACGGCAGGGTAGACCAACGTCTAAAAGGTGGGGATCAAGCTTAAACAGCGGCAAGAAAAGAACCAGAACAAGCGCTACCAAACGGGTCATTGGTCAACCATCCTTTGGACATATTGACTACGAAGTGCAGGGGGCCCGACGGGGCCCGTGTCCAGGGTCCATGTTTTTGTTGGCTCTTCACTGTTCTTCTTTTGGGCTTTTGATAGGGACATAGTGGATAGATCCGCAAAGACCGCTTTCCTATTGGGAGAGGATTTGATGCACATCCTTTTATTAAAAAACAAACACGCGTTGGCTGGGCGTGAACCCGCACTGGGAATCCCTAGGTCAAAAAGTCAGCTTGAGTCGAAGGTCCTTTCCCATGCAAATGAGCCACAGGTGGTTTGCGTCGAAACAGGGGTAATACCGGAGCAGCGGACACTCCCCGACGGGAGCCCCCATGAATTTGCTCTCATTTCGTCACCTTGACTGCAAAGTTCCAGGAAAGGACTCCAGGAACTCTGCTGATTCTCTCTGGAACACGGGATTTGTCCTAACCATAGGTGTTCTTTTTGGGAAAATAGATGGCCCTGCTATCTGATTGAACCACCAGGCAAACCAGGAATCGCCCTCTATGTTTAAACCAAGTCAACCAAAGAGGACACCTATGGTCATGAGCAATGCTTTGCCAAACCCAAGGTGGCACAAAGGGGGTACCACTGGCAGTTCAACTGAGTCAGAATCGAAACCGATCGCCATGTAAAGAACTCCTGTGGTCCAAACAGGGATCCTTACAATCGAAACACCTGAACATTTGCAACTTGTAAATGCTGATGTCCATTTCTTTATTTTGGTGTTGAAAAAGCAACATTGTAACATGTTTCAAATGGTGACGCAAAATGGCCCGATCTTTTTTCAGGAGCCCTGTCCTACCCTCCTCCCTAAGCGCTTGGACGCTCTCCGGAAGCTTCGCCTCCATCTCTCCAGGTCGATCACCATCACGCCGGCCTCGGCGTCAACAGTTTTTGCGCTCGAGCGGCCTGACGACCCGGCAGTGGTCTGCACGTGGGGGTCGATCACAAGCTCCAATGAACATGGGATGACCACCAGGGAAACCACCAAAAAAACGAGGACTTCCCCCACGAAACGGTTGAAAGGTTGCCCATGGCAGGAATCTTGATCAACTTTGGAAGGTGCGCCGGAGCTCCGTCCGCCAACTTTGCGACACTTTTTGCAAAGGTGTGGCCCTTGTCAGCTACAGCTGAGTCCCTAAAGGTATTGCAAGCAAACCACATATGCAGATCCTCGTTGATCATGGATGCATCACTTCAGCGAATGGATCTGAGTTTCTTGGGGGTGAGTGGGCTCCCTAAAAACTAGGCAAATGGGCACAAGTTGATGACCTGGCAATGAATGAAAGAAAGAAATAATGAAAGAAAGAAAAAAAGAAAGAAAGAACAAAAGAAAGAAAGAAAGAAAGAAAGAAAGAACAAAAGAAAGAACACAAAAAGGAAGGAACCAAGAAATAAATGAAGAAAAAAAAAGGAAAGAAAGAAGGAAGGAAGCAAGAAATAAAAGAAGGAAAGAAAGAAGGAAAGAAGGAAAGAAGGAAAGGAAAGAAGGAAAGGAAGAAATGAGAAACACCTCAAAACTGGTGTCCGCTTGCCTTCCAAAAACCGTCCAAAACGAGCCCCTCTCTTTGAGACACCCAAAATTCCTCCCGGGCAAAAGTCAACTTTCGTGGTACTCCATTGGATCTAGCTGAGCTTCTGTGTAATTCTGTTTTAGGGCTCCGGTGCCATGTCACCCCCATTACCAAAGGTCCCTATTCGAAGAAAAAAAGCCAACATGGAGAAGGCCAAAATTAATCGCGCGGCAGGCACCAAAAACAAACCGTCAAACAAAACAGGACCTCTTCCGAGCCTTCCAAACACGTCCTCCTGGTTTTCTCTTCCATCCCCTCGCCTCTACAACGCCCCGCCGCCGTCAGTGGGGCGCCGGCGTTGAAGGAGGGCGCCTCGCTGGGCAGCCACCGGGGCACCGCCTCGCGCGACCGCGAAAACTGCCCACCGTTTTGGGGAGGTGTCCAAAACGGGGGCCGCGGCAATAGAATTTGTGCTTTTTCCCCGGGCGGCTTTTTGAAACGGCCCATTTTTGGGGGAGGTGCCAACAAGAGGGAAATGGAGCTGACTCTGGGTCCGGCGTTTTGGTTTTTTTGGCAAAGGGTGCCCCTTGTCTGGCGTTGTCATCAGGGAAGCTTTGTTCGTGGCTTGTAAACCGAAACATCTTGGGGGGGCCTGTCTTTTGGTTGCGGCGAAGGGTGCCCCTCGTTTGGCCGGCCTTTCCAGGGAAACCCCGCAGGAAGATCGTTGCGTTTTGGAAAAATCCGAAGTCCCAAAAACAACACGCCCAATTGGATATGGGTCAAAACCCAAATCGTGCCCTCAGTGAACACCCCAATCCCCACTAAAATAGGTCCTAAAATGGGTGGTGCACCGACAACCCCAGAATGGGATCCCATTGGTGTTGACCCACGGCCATTTCACGAAGCATCTGGACCTCAGACAGGGATCCTTGCAATCGAAACACCTGAATATTGCAACTTGTAAATGGCGGTGTCCATTTCTTTATTTTGGTGTTGAAAAAGCCACATGTTTCAAAGGAACTGTATTTTTTTTGGAGCCCTGTCAGAATTCAAAGATTCCACTGAGCTTTCCGATCTGTCTCGAATTTCCGATCTGTGGGCCCCCTGGCAGGCTGCAAGACGTCCACGTAGACCTGCGCCCCAACTGGTGTGCCAAAGGGGGGCCTCCAAAAAGCGACCAAGAGAAGGACAGGGAAAATATGAGGGAAACACGTCTTCTTGAGGACTTGGAAAGTTGCACTGTCCAATGCTTCCAGGGGGAAGGTTTCGGTTGGAGACTAAAGGCAAACTCCTGGTTAACAGCTATAGTGGCTCGTTTGGGATCAACTGGGGTTGATCAAACTCCCTCCAACCGAGCTTAAGAACAGCATTGGGCTGTCGCAAACCAAACCCTGTGTGAGGTCACCATAATTTGCTACATTTGCCAAATATGGCCGTCTCTGAATGTGGGAGCTCTCCACGCGAAACGTCCCTTGTCAATGCCTGTCTGGAGTACCGCATATGACAGTGTAACCGCTTGAAAGTATGGTTGTGAACAAGTCAGTTCAGGTGGGATGCGGATGGGAGGCTACTGCGGGAAGTGAAACCCACAAAACTGCGGTCCCATGCTCGTCAACCTGCTCGCTTGGTACGTGTACCGCCGTGCTTTGTTTGTACGAAGCTCATCAGTGCCCAACTCATCACGCACACTGGCAGGATGTTCTGCATGACTACACCAGTGATCCAGAGGCACACCTGCAGAAACTGTGCTGCATGCCCCTGCCCAAAAAAGAAAAGGGGGGGAAAAAAAGAGAGAGAGAGAGAGAGAGAGAGAGAGAGAGAGAGTCCAGAAAGACAAAAAAAAATACTGGCATGACATCTTGCCATCTTGCTGGAAACACAGCCACCGGTGAATGCACATCTGGGTGCACAAGCACATCCCTGAATAGTTCAGAGCGATACTGTGCAGATGAGCAAAGCCAGCTGTGGCTGCCGCTTGCACAAAATTCCGTAGCCACTTGCCACTGCAGCCAGAACAAAGCACATCACTCCACCGGCCTGTCTGGTAGAATCAGGCCGACCTGCTACTCTCTTTCGCTTGCTTGCGGAAGGTGATATCCTTCGCTTCTCACTCTCTCCCAGCGGTGCTGGCTCTGCGGCGCCCGCATCTACATCGGTCCAGTGTCCCAACAACTTTGCCAGTTGCTTGCATCATCATCGTTCGCCAAGGATAACAACGAGCACCTTGCTTCCGGACGAAGGGAACCAGTTGCATCATAGCTCGTTAAGGGGTTCTGGTAAGATATGACTTGAACAGATCCCCCGTATCCTTTTAGCTTCCTTTTGTTTTTTTTTGATGCAAAGATGATGGTCGTAGCCACCCAAGCCTTCGCTTAATGTCAAAAGCTGAATATCGACAAACTTTGACACATCCAGAAGGGGAACTTTGACACATCCCCTCCGGGAAACTTTGACACTTTCCTTTCCCGGGAACTTTGACACATCCCCCGTCCGTTTCCGGGGAACCCCTTAGGACACTTTTGGTCTCCTTCCCGTTTCGCCACGCCTTCAGGGGCTGGTTGCTCCGCTGCACTGCCGCCACGGTGCCGTGAGCGCCCTTCTCGGTGCCTGCGAAGCGAAGAAGCCGCGGGGTTTCTTGGATTTGCCCCCCAGAAAAGGGGAACATGGTATAAACGACCCATGGAAGGGCAGGATGAGCCGGATGCTGAAATGTTGACCCTTTTGGGTGAGTGCGACTCTGAAATTCAACGGGACCGGGGGGAAGAAAGTGGTGTAATGCTTGGGGAGGATGTCCTGCGGCCTCCACCTGGTCTCCACGCAGCGTGCCAGGCAATCGACTTCTCCCACCAACTTTGTCCACATCTGCACGTAGAAATCTTCCAGCAGTCAAAAAGCAAACCATGTAATACCTACCTGTGGAACCAAAGCCCTTCCTGTGGTGGGTGTGGAGCCCCTTCTGAACATATGGCTTGCGAACCGCGGAATCCTGCATCTACAGAAAAGCACAGCGCAAAGAAACGAGAGACATGTTTGCTTGAAACCTGATTCTGAGGGCGCAGCGCATAGGGGTGTCAAAGAGCTCGGTCAGGTCTCCCTTCACAACCACGTCCACGTCAAGGTAGACCACCTCCGATTTCCAGCCGAAACTTCTTTCGGAGCACCTCCTATGCCTTCCTGAAGCCTCGGACCCTCATTCAGGGCCATCAACCCGCTGTCTTTTGTTTAGGGAAGGGACACGCGAGCAAGGGTCAATATTCATTGTTCCCAAATGATGGCTGAGACTTTGCCGACCGATATCCTGTACAGTACATGATGGTGAAATGGGCATTCTCAAACCGAAGCCAGGAAATCCCGCGTAAGGGACCTTCATTGGTGGAATCGCGGCCATTGATCAGACAAGGACCCAACGCTCTGTCCGCTTTGAAACTTTCGCGTGACTCTGTTTGAGCCTATGCTGCATGGTATGGTATCGTTTCCAGGGAGCCAAGCGGAAACCGCCCCCGTCTTCATGTTTTTCGGGATCCCTTGTAAGGAGACTCCCAAACCGTTTCCCTGCGCGCACCCGCGACAGGCCCGGCAGCAGCTGGTGCAGCAAGAAGCGCGCAAAGTTGTGCCTCGGAGAGGGCGCACGGGAAAGACGCCGGCTGGAAAAAAGTAGAGCAGTGAGCTCTAAAGAGCTGAGGATACTGCACTCAATGCGGGAGGGAAGGACTCACTCAAGAGGACATTAGAGCAATGGGGCAGGGACAACCAATCTGAGTGAATCAGAATTTGACCAACCTGAAACAGACCCCAAGAAAGCGGTGCGCAAGCCTTTGCGAGGGTGCTGCAATCTTCCTAGAAAATATTTTGTCAGTTCGGTTGCTCATGGGTCGTGCCTCCAATTTCAATTGAAACCCGCGCATGGCTGTCAAAACTAGATACCTCTCCATGCGGCCAGTTTGATGCTGCATCCTCCAAACAGAGTCGCAGCCTTTGACACGCCTGGTGAGCGTTTTGGGCCTGCCTACCCCTCCACTTGGCCGCGCGCGCCGCACCCAGGTTCCCCGTGTCGGAGCCTCACAAAGGGGTCTACGCACAGATCTGTTTTGGAAACATTAAAGTAGCCCAAATCGGTCGAATCATTCTGGCGCAGCAGTCCTGTGCAAATTCTGGATAGGCATCGTAAGCGTGCCAAAGTTGGGTTTTATGACAGGCGCATTACTTTGGACATTTTGGAGTTCGTGGCAAGCTCGCTTTGCGTGACATGCATCAAACTTCGTGGCAGGCGAAGCAATTTGCGCGGTCGCGCATTGAACTCCGTGGCAGGCGCAGTGCTTGGAGCCTCGCAGGCAGTGTTTTATTTTGTGGCAAACACCACATTTTGTAACGTCGCACGACGAATGGCGCGACAAGCACAGCACTTTCGAGCATGCCTCGCCGGAGCGCTGATTTGCGTGGCAGGCGCGGTACTTTGGAGGGTTGCACGCAGATTTCGTGGCAAGCGTAGCGCTTTGGAGAACAGAGCCCTGACTTCGTGGCATGTGTAGGGTCGCCCGAGAAACTTCGCGACAGGCGCAGCACTTTGGGGCACGCCTACAGGAGTGCTGATGGCACTCCAAGTACTTTACAGGGTTGCGCGTTCTTGGGATATGTTTTTCGGGACGCCGCTTTTTACAAAGGAAGGTAGATTGGTGGAGAAGCACAGACACTCATAGAGAGAAATCATGGATAAATGCGAAGACGGGTCAGGTAGATGGACAAATGGACAAACAGATTCGCACTATCTCACTGTCTCGATCGCACTTTGGCGCAAAAAAAGTATGAGTACAGTTCAGCTAAAACCGCCAGCCTTGCGCAGTCAAACTGCGCACAGAAATGGACAAAGTTTGATAAGGCAAACGGACATGAAAGATAAGATTGGCGAAGAGAGTTTGCAGAGCGTACGCAAGAGGGGGCATCATTCAAAGCATCATGGGCAACATATGCAGACGCTTCGCCGCAAGGTAAAATCGAAAGCCCTTCAAAAGCTTAAAGGTACAAAGCTCCTCGCTTGGAGCCCACGCGCAACGAGTGGCTGAGGTCGGTCTCCCCCAGCATCACTGCGCCCCTTGGTCGAACTCTGGAAAGAAAGCCTCCACAAAACGGCAAAGTGACGCCCTCCGAGCACAGAAACGTGCACAGTTTAGCTGCCAGTGAAAGCCATTTTGCTCCAACCGACACTTTTGGATGTTTGTAACGTCTACAGTTTAAAGGCAACTCCTTTTTGCGCCCTCGCCTTGCAAGGGGAAAAGAAAAGCACTGGCAAGGCCGCTGGCTCTAAGCCAACTGCTATCATTCAAATGCTGGCAAAGAGAGCAACCTTTTCCGCGCTCTTTCCACATGGATCGGTTTGCTCACTGAGTCACTTCCCTGGTGGCACCACCAGACCGCCTTCGAATCACAAGCGCCCGGCGAGCGGCTGGAGTTCAAGCCCACCTGAACCGAGTGGTCTCATCCTCCTTAAGATAGAAAGGAATAGAAAGGTAATGAAAGAGATATGACATGCCAGGCAAGTAAAAAATAGAAAAGGCCTGGCTCTATCTCTTTCCATCTGTTCACTTCATATCCTCACTCAGCCATGTCATGTCAACCTTCGGTGTGATGCATGAGATGAAAGGATATTGAGGAAGACACGCCACGTGAACCAAGGGTTCATAAACCATCTTTGGGAAGGACATCAGCACGCAGGTTCGTAGCAACCAAGGCCCTCTTTAGAGAAGCATGCGTAGCTCTAGCGTTTCCAGTGTTGCAGTTGGTGAGCAGGGAAAGCCATCACGCACATCCTAGAGTTACCAAAGAACTGACAAACCCTATCCCCCAAACCCATGTCACGAGAAGGTTGGCTGCCCTGAAGCAACTCCACCACCTGCCCCTCTCCCAACAAAACCCATAGCCTAAGACACTGCTGATCTACGTGTATCCCTTCCTACTGCGGCGGCCTACCAATGTTCGACTGAGCGAAGCTGCTCCAAAAATAAGCGCCCGTTAAGCCTGGCCGATTTGGGCTGACGCTCGCGAAGCAAGCTGGGCTGCAAAGGATTCCTGGCTCAGACCTAGCGCTGGTCTTCACACGCTCACCGCAACAACTTCCCCCTAGCTCAAGCACCTCAGATCAAGGCAGCGCGTTTCACACTTTGCTCGCGCCCCGGCTGCCAAGCCCAGTCCCCAGCTTTCACTACCATACCCGAGCACGCCCAATCAATTGCCCAAGCCTGCGTTGCTCTTAGTTATAGATCCTTTGAGCGGGAAGCGTTTACAACAACACACGCACACACACACACACACACACACACACACACACACACACACACACACACACACACACCCTCCCCCCGATCCACACCTCCGTCCAAACCTGCTCTGGGTCCAAACCTCGGTACAGGAAGGGTCCGGTGCGAGGAACGTGCCCAAAGGCAAGGCCCCTGAAAAGTGCGGCCTAGACTAGGGGGCTGAAGCGTCGAAGCAACCCCGGGTTTGCTTCAAAACCGGATATGAAGCCGCAAAATGGCCCATCTGCCTTTGTCTTCCCTCCAAACAGCGTACCCCAAAAGACTAACTAGAAGTTGTTCGCAGGGCTGCGCGACTCTGACTAAGGCAGCTCCAAGACTGCGTGCCAGAGATGTAGGAGGTTGGAGTTGGTTGGTAAAAGTTTGCAGGTTTGTCTTCGAAAGGGGGTCAAAAGTTGGCTAAAACAGGATGACTGTCCAACATGCGTGCCACCAAAAAGAAGGAACCGAAACATTGGACTGGCATGAATACATCCTAGAAACCCACAGCTTATGAGAAATGAAAGCGCCGCAAAATCGCCACCCCCCCTGGAATTGCTGCGTTGGCTTGCAAAGTCTACGTAAAGAACAGCACTCCACACAGCAGCGCCTTGGAACCAAGCGAATCCGAGCCCATGGCGGTGGATCAGCAGCCGCGCGGTGCCCAAGGCGAAGCCAGCGAGGAGTTGCCCCGCAAAGGGCCCTGGCTCGTGGCCACAAGGATTTGCCCCCGCCGCTCCCAGGGAGGCTACGATGACTTGGGCGCCAGCCACATGCTGCGATTGCGGGGCGGGGGAAAACTGCTTTCCTTTGCAGCCGCAACCACGAGAACATGGACATGGAAACGTTGCTACCGCGGGTCGTCTCCCAGCGTGGCCCGCAGCGCCCAGCAAACGTCCATCACTCCGCGTACGTGTCCCGCCGTCGCGAGCTGCATTCGCGAGACGCTGCAAGCTAGAGCGACAACGCAGCCAGTTCAGTCCTCCCAAACAAGCAGATCTCCGCTGCGCCGACGCCACGCTTGTTGCACGAAAGCATTCGCCAAACCCAGGGGCATGCTGCATGCCGAAACATCCACTGCATCCTTTGCAACACCATGTCATCACTTTCAGCTGGATGAAGAAGCAACCTAGCCTTTGCAAAGGCCGAAGTTCGTCTTGGCTATGATGCAAACTCCCGTCGGCTCGCCTCATTGCTTGCGGAGGCAAAACCGCGCAGCGAATAGCGTCTGGCAAGGGCGGACATTGCGAGAGCAACGCGTGCGTGCGAAAGTTAAGCACTCAAATTCAAACGTGATGCATTCTAACTGGATGCCAACTGGATGCTTCTCTGGCAGGTTTCGGACTGAGCGTTGACAAACTAGTGTGCATATGTAATGCGTGAGCGCTGGTTGAATAATCGTGCGCATTGGTAGTAGCTGCGCTCTTTGAAGAATGTGTGCCACAACATGACGCACATTCCACGCAGCTGTGAGTTGCTAGGTCGGTGCAGCAAATGAAATTGTAGAACAATTCATTTGGCCACAATGCATTTTGGTTGTGAATCTGTGCGCGCCGGTGGCGCCTGTGCAGCCAATGTTGCCGCAAATTGACACGCACAGCAAACAAAGATCACGTGGATTCTAGTTATGTTCGTGCGACCCTGCGTACGAGGAAGCGAGTTTTGCTGCTGGTAGTCTAGTTGCTTGCAAACTCGCGCACGTTCGCTCGCTTCCGGGCACCGCCAAGCCGTATTTTACGGCATGGTCTATCGTTTTTTACACCCCCGGCATCACCAGAAAGAGTTAGTTTAGGCTGAGATTTTGTGTAGGGTGGGTTTGGCGATCAGGGAGTGGTGTGACGGTTGGTTTAGGGGGCTTCCACGACCCCCAAAGAACACAGGTAAGGACAACAACGAAATAAACTACGAGCTACGCACATTGCAAACGCAATCCTGGCAGTGATGCGGAAAAGGATGCTTTGCTGGTGTTGCTGAGGATGTCGAAAAGCCAAAAAGCCGCCCACAGCAACAAAAGCCAGGAAAAGCCAGCAAACAGCCACAAAAGCAAAGGCCAGCCTGGAGCAAAGCAAAAAAGAAGCAAGACGACCAACTGAAACTGCCCCCGCCCAATAGATTCTAGATTTATCTGTGTGTGTGTATGTATGTATATATATATATATATGTATTGCTTGAGTCGTGAACTGCTTGAGGCATCCCGATTTTGGCGTGCAAACCATGGTGCATTGTTTCTGCTGCGAAGGCGGTGCGCCTATAATTCACGCCTTCAGATTGGCCCAAAGTGGTGTCACAAGCTCCGGTCCGCCTTGCGCAAGCTGTTGCCCCCACAGCCTCATCCTAAACCAAGTCCAAACCAAGCCCCTGCCCAAAATCAGTCCGACTCACAACCCTCGCCCGCCTAAACCAACCCTAAACCAACAGCCCAAAACCCGATCTGCCAAAACCCAAGTGGCATTCTAGCTTCGGGTCCATCGATCCATATGTTCAGACGCTGCCCTGTGCTTTGTTGGTCAACAGCTGCACGTGCGAAGCCATGTTGCCATCTTTTTTTAAAAAAAAAAAAAGGCCGGATTCTCCAAGGCGGTCTGAGCGAGAAAGGCTCCTTCCATGCATTGAAAACCACCCAATAAAGCCGGAAATCGCAGTTCAAATCAGCTGTTTGCAAGGTAACATGGATGTTCCTGGAATGGGATGTTACTGAAATGGCGGATCTGGGGAAAACCAGAAAGTTCTAGAAGCACCCAAGCCCAAGCGACACTGAAAAAAAAACAGGAGAAACAAAAGAAAGAAAAACAAACGAGGCGTCCGGAGTCCGGAGCTCGCCGAGAGGCAAAGGCTCACTCGACCATCAACCATCTGCACAACTTACAAGGGGCGTGTCTTCTCTTTGAAGGACATCAACCCCATATTAATCTACCCCAGGTTATGATTCCCCACTAAACCCCGGGACACCCCCCATTAATACACCATACTGCAAGTCAACCGACCACAAACCCCGGGCTCGCAGGAAGTTTCCCAAGCCCTCCGCGCCTCGAAGTGGCCGGAGGCTGGCGCCGAAGGCACACTGGAGGCCCTCCGCAGTCTTCGGGCGAAAAACGAGTGGCGCGGAAAAATGGGCCCCCGCCTCGGCAAAACGCCTGAGTTACAGTCGGAATAAAGCTTTCCGCTTGTTTGCGAATGTGGTTGTTGCTGCTCTTTGCGAGCAAGCAACGGCTCTCGCACGGTTTCATGCCCTGGTTTCCTCATTCAATGCTACACGGGATCATTGTACAAGAAAGTCGGACCCCGTCAAGCATTGCTATCAAAGGGAAACCAACGCTAAATCTACGTTTGGAGCAGCCCCTAAACCACTCGCAACGCTTCCCCAAAAAGAGAAACAGTTCTTGTAGGCTCTGCTGGTGCAAGCTTTTGTCCTTTGGCTCCAATGCAAGCAGCCATGTTGACAGCCTAAAATCGTAGCGTACTCTAAAACGTGGCTGCCGACAAGTTTGGAACACCTCTTCCCGGGCTGTGCTTCTTTTGGGGTGACCCCCAGGTTGCGACTGAAAAAGGACTTTGGTTAAGTTCAGATCAAGGCAGCTCGGCGATTTTTGGACGAACTCTTGGGTCCCTCCCCGCATTCTTGTTTGGGCTGCGATTTTTGCTTTTGGCTGCACCCCCTGGGCATGTGAAGATGATTCTAAGTGTACCTTCTATTTCCATTCTTTCCAGGCTTGCTAGAAAACCTTCGGAAACCCAGGGAAAACGGCTGGTTCTTGAAAGAACGATGATTGAAAAGAATAGAAAAGGAATCCCTACAATCATGGGATCGCTTTTGGGGCATCGCAAAGTCAGAGTTTCAGCAACGCTGGTTTCCGAAAAACTGGCCTCCTTTCGGCTTCCCTTCAAACCATCATGGCCATTGGGAGGGATCGATTTCCCCCCCCCCACCACCCCCACCCCCCCCCCCCCCCGCCGCACCCACTCGGTTTTGAAAAACACGCAAACAGGCACAAACACACCAAAACTTGGTTGACGCTGGAAGCGGAGCAAAAACTTAAATTTTAGCAGTTAAGTCGGGATTTCCCACTAAACCACAATAAGCAAAGATGTAAAATGCTTCCCAATAACAACCATGAAAAAGGCCGTGGCGCACCGAGTTGCAACCTAAAAACGAAACCGCACGGGGCCCATGGCACCAGGGGTCCCAACCTCCACCAGGAAGTCCCGCTGGTCTTGCAGTACAAAGGCGTGGAAGCACAAACGCCTCGGCTGAAAGAGGTCCAAACATAGGTGTCCTTTTGCTTACACAGATGGCCCCGGTAAATGGAATGAAACCAATCTAAACCAGTGATCTGGCCCATTTCTGATCAAGCTAACCTAACAAGGGACACCCACGGATCCAAGCAGCAGAAACGCCAAAACAGACTGTTCTGGGCGCAGCTGAAAGGCGAACTTGTCTGGGTTTGCACGCAGCCAGGTGCAAGGGTGGTTCACCCGCACTCGGTGAATTCAGGGCTTGTAGATTCGACCCTCCGTTTTGTGCCATGGTCCAAAACCGGAGCCTTTCACTCCATGATGCCGATGGATTATTCAGGGGTATTGTCGAGTTTAGGATCGATGCACGGCTTTCAGGATGGCTCTCGGGTTTGGGTTCAGTTGGGATGCCAAGCTACCTGCAGGTTGGGCTGAGGGTGGATTTTGGCCGGTTGAGTGCGAGTGGGCGTTGCATGATCAGGTGCCCAGCGGGATCTGGAAACCAAACGACTGGGAGAAACCAATAGGAATCAAGCCGTCAGATTTCGCCGGCAAAAACCACCAGCGAGAAAAAGGCTAGCAGTTAGATGGAGGAAACGAAACAAACCCGGACCCTGTCTAACCAAAATTCTGCGGATGGCCATGGCGGCCAGAAGGCAGGGGCCCCGCGCGTGGCGTTGCCAGAGGACACCGCGCTTTGCAGAGTGACGATGAGGCCGTCGATTTGGGCCTGGCGATCTTTGAAACCCTGGCCATGTCCAGCCGTTGACTTGGGCAGGTCTTGTTAGGGGAGCCCCAGAAAATGATTGGCGTCCTTTCTGTTTCCCATGAAAACCCGCCAAAAAAGAAAAAGACACGCCCATGCATGTAGTGGATACGAAGAAATCACTTGGGGGCACGTGATGCACCCTTCGCCCGGCAAATGCCAAACACAACAGCTCAGCTCGTCATCCAGTTGCTGTGCCTCCCTTTGTTGGGCATGTTGGGGAGGGGGGGGAGCTTTCCAAGAAGCAAATATGAGCGCCCATTGCACCTTGGGCCAGTTGATTCGTGGCTTTGAAACTGTCCCCACCCAAGTCCAGTCTCAAATGGTATGCTTCAAAATAAAGGCTTCTAAAATCCTTGGTAAGACCCTTTGGTATGCTTTCCATCTCAAGGGACTCCGAAAATTCGGGTCTCAAGCGCGCGCTTCTCCCTTGCCGAGGCCCCGAGGCTCTCGCCAGATCTGCAGACAGCGCGATGTGCGCCATGGCTCCGTCCCTCAGGCAGATGCCCCACTCCTCGCGGAAAAACCGCCGTCGGGGTTCCGGGAGACAGGGGGGGGGTGCTCCTGAAAAAGGGGGCAACATATGGTTTAAACACCACCTTTACAAGGGAAGAATCATTATTACCAGTGGTTTAAACATGATTAAACCAATGGGTGGCCCCACCCTAGTGCCCCCCCGACTTGTTACTGCTACTTGGGCGACATCACCTTTGGCCCATGCGCGAAAGGCGGGTGATTGGGTTCTTCCCGTCCTCCGGGTAGGCGGACTCCGAGCTCCGCTGCACGTCCGGCTCCTCGGCCTCCAGAGAGACTGGCTTGGATTGAGAAGCGAACATCTTCCCGGTATTTTTTCTTCCAGGTAGACAGCGCTTGGTCACCTTGGGCAAGGACACTCCAAAGCTCAGTGTTCAGCTTCCGTCTAGCAGCAACCCACACGTGTCAGAGACCATACTGTGGGAGCACTGCCGAGGAAAACATGGAAAAGGTCGGGAAGCATATCGAAACTAGACACACAACCCCGGGCGCTTGATTTTTAGGATCTGACTTGAGTGCTGAACTACGCAAGCCTGGAATCAATTTCACATGCTGGCTTCACTGCTAGAACACCCTAATTAGGCTGGCGACTCGCTCGCCCATTCGAGGCCAATAAGGTTCCCAATTGTTTCTGAAAGCCAAAACCTACACGTCGGCAGCTTTTGAGCTTCCGGCAGCCAGCCCTTTTCGCAGGCACCCGCGCGGGAGAACGGTTGTTGGGTAGTTGGGCTGTTGGGCTGCTGGGCTGTTGGTGTTGGGTTGGGCCAATGGTTTTGTTTGGCTGTGGAACCCCCCGCCCGCCCCGCAATCTGAAGATAGCCCGGCTCGCCTGGCCCCTGGCCTGCAGCAAGCGCCGCCACTTCAGCCGCACCTCCGGCGCAAGAAGCGCAACTTTCCGGGCGGGGACCGGAAGCTCAACGGACGTTGGGCTTGGGGCAGTTGGGGGCCGAATTACGGCTCCACAGTCAACAAAGACGGGTTTTGTGAAAAGGTGCTCTCGAAACCCGCCAAATCCGCCAAGGCCCTTGAATTTCAGGCAATCAGATCCCAGGAGCAGCGCGAATCGTCGCGACACAAAGTTAATCTGGAAATGACCGCAGAGATGTGAATTTTGGGTGTGGGTGGGCTTTGGGGCTTGCTCGGATGCCGAGATGGCTTGCCTTAGAGAGCTATTTAATGTGGCGTTTGTGCTTCTGCAGCTCTTTCGGGGTGCAGTTTTTGGCGCCGAAGCTGTTAGAAACCAGCGGTCTCGCTGGAAGAGCGGTCAAGCCCCGCCGCAGTGCAGCGGCTTCTGCAGAGCCGCTGAGCGCCGGATTTCCGAACCCCGGCGGGGAAACCGCGGAGAAACCGTGGGAGCTCTTCAGAGAGTTAGCTGCTTGAAAGGCACCGGACACCAGCATCCGCAACAAGAGACAAAGCATCCTGCTTGGCGCGCCCCATGGAATCCCAATAAATGCTTCCAACAAAAGCAGGTTCCTCCAAAGTCCTGTGCTCCGGCATGCCCAGCCCCCAGTTTGAACCATGGCTTCTATGGTGAATGGTGTTCGCATGAGAGACCGCAGTGGACCGCAACACCCAGTGAAGACACCCGCTGGGGAGGCCTTTGCGCCTTGTCGCAAGCCAGGGGGACTCTGCTAGGCCGGGCTTCCCGAAAGAAAACCGAAAAAAATCACCTGGAGTTCAGGCCCGTCAAAGCCCCTGACCCGCCCATTTCCCCGGCATCCGGCATCCGGACTCGGGGCTTCCGGCGTTTCCCGGCAGCGCTGGGGGCGGCAGAGGCGCCGGCGTCATGATCGGCGCCTTGCGAAGATTTGCACAAAGGCGCCGCTTCTGGTCGGGCCGTCTCCAAGGTGCATCCGAGATTGAAGGAACCTGGACCGCCAGTTGCTGCTTTTTCCCAGCAACTGTCAACTGTTTTTGGGGCAAGGTGTCTGGAAAAAAGCAGCAACTTGGCGATCCAGGAACTCAGTTTGGGGGATTTCAAAGCGAACCCCAAAGCCAACTACGCACTTGGCAGGCCTCACTTGGGGCGAACCAAAGCCGGAGACCTTTGCGCAGTCTGCAGAACACAATCCCACCAATTGAGAGTCTCGACACGGAGTACCCACAACAATTTGTGGGGAACCATGCAGTACAAGCAGGATACATACAGTTGCATACATAATCTGTATACATATATGTGTGTGTGTGTTTAGTATACATGTACATACATGCATGTTTATATAATACATGTACCATATCTATGTGCATGTGTGTGTGTGTGCATCCACTGGTACAAGTGTTCCGTATGCC